CCCCACACATTTTTGGGGAAAGGACGCACTACCTGTTAGTTTGTTTTACGGCCGCTTGGTCGTCCTCCCCCCCCCGGGGGGGGGGGGGGGGGACAAGAACGATCATGTCCAAGCCAGGCACCCTTGGCAGCTCTGACGATGGCGCAGAATACTAGATATCGAGGTCAGATGTATGACACCCTGAGAAGCACCCGAGGCCTGTTTCAGCCTAACCTGCCTGGTTTGACAGTCTGAGAGGTACATAGTCACGGCACCATAGGTTTGACCATAGATCTAGCCATATGGATGCAGAGATATACACGGCCAGTAGATATGATTGCAAACCAAGGTGCAAGCGAGTGCTACCCATAAATTGCGCTCGAGATGCGGACTTACGGAGTAGATATCTTAGGTAGGTACATACTGTAGGTACGAGTATATAATAGGTTAGGAAGCTCTTTCGTGACGATTTAGAGTCTTGGCATTAATTAGTGCAGTCCACTAGCTTGATGTGAATTAGTGCCGTTTGTCGCGCTCCCCAGATTCTTACTTTCCTCAGTCTGTCCCGATCATCGAATCAATTACAGACAATGAAACTAACCTCGACATATCAACCACTTTGACCTCAGCCTCAGTCAACACTTACTAAAATATCCCTCTTCATAACTCAACAAAAACACCCACTTGCGATCGTTTTTCGCCTATCATGTCCGACCCCCCTCGCGGCGTCCCAGCCCGGCGACGCTCCTCCGTCGCATATGATCCTGCCAGAGACACTTTCAAAGAACTACCTAATACCATTCCTGAAGACGCCATTGCCGAAGTGGACGAAGAACCAGCCCCAAATACGACCACCACGACTTCGAGTCCACCCAATAACCAAGCCTCAGGTGATCAAGGCCGAAAGCGAAGACGCTCAGCATCCGGTGAGAGAGAAGTGAGAGACAGGCGAGACAGAAACGGCACCAGTCACACCAATTCTCCCGTTTCCAAGAAGCGAAGGCCATCTACCTCACCTTCCAGAAGAGCTTTGAATTCGCCCAGGCCATCAAACAATAATATGGAGCGCGAGAAGTTTCCCCCCAGGGTTCCTGCGGATCTTCCTCGTATTCCACTGAAACCAAGAGAAGAGGGTGAAGTCTCAACGGCGAGTCGTGTTCCATCGGCTTACAGTCGTCGATCTGAACCAGAAGATCGCCGAAGAAATGGCAATTATCAACGTCGATCACGCTCTCCACGACGTCGCTCGCCCCACAATGCCTATTCACGCCGTTCTCCACCACGAGAGCGTCGCAGGTCTCCTTCACCCATTCGTGATTCTCCTCCTCGTGAGATAATTCGACCTGGCGGTGCTCGAGGTCGAGGTCGTAATGTCCTTGCAGAACAACAGCGACTTGCAGCTGAACGTGAGGCGAAACAGGCAGCCTTGTCCAATTCTCGCGGTGTTCAAGAAGTCTCCAATCAATTTTACAATGCACGCCCTGAATGGGTGAAAGAGCGCGGCAGGGATTGGCGCAGAAACGAGTCAAAGATCAAAGGACTACGGAGCTTCAACAATTGGATCAAGTCCACTTTGATTCATAAATTCAGTGCCGAAGAGAAAAAAGAGGTCGAAGAATTGGGATGGGGAGAGGAAGCCAAAGAACCAGAAGAGCAAAAGCCTTTACTGATACTAGATGTTGGTTGTGGAAAAGGAGGTGATCTAGGTAAATGGCAGCAAGCCCCTCAAAAGGTTGGCCTCTACGTCGGACTAGATCCTGCCGAGACCAGCATCTCACAAGCCCGTCAAAGGTATCAAGAAATGCGACGACAACGCCGTCCTATTTTTGATGCTCGCTTTGTTCCCCAAGACTGTTTCGGTGCATGGATTGGCGATGTTCCAATTGTTCGAGAGGTGGGCATCGATCCTAATGCGGGCAGTGGCCAGCCTAGTCGTTGGGGTGGCGGTGGATTCGATGTGGTTGCTGCAATGTTCACCATGCACTATGCATTCGAATCAGAAGAGAATGTGAGGATGATGTTACGCAACGTTGCCGGCAGCTTGAAGAAGGGAGGTCGCTTCCTTGGGGTGGTTCCCAACAGCGATGTTTCTGCAGAACGCATCAGGAAATGGTTTGCAGATAAGAAAGCAAAGGAAGGAGACGCCCCTGACGGTGAATCCAAGAACGCAGAGAAAGAAGAAGGTGAAACTGAGGACGGTCCATCCTGGGGCAACTCCATCTACAACGTCCGCTTTCCGAATGACCCACTCCGTCCTTTACAGGCAGATGGTGGTTTCCGACCCCCATTCTCATGGAAATACACCTACTGGATGGCTGAGGCAGTCGATGTGCCGGAGTTTGTCGTTCCGTGGGAAGCCTTCCGTGCTATTGCAGAGGGATTCAATCTTGAACAGCGTTATCGCAAACCATTCCCCGAGGTCTTTGAGTCCGAGAGAGGAAACAAAGAACTGATGCAGCTGGCCGTCAGGATGCGTGTGGTAGAATATGAGGGTGGTCCAAAGATCTTGAGTCCTGAGGAAGAGGAGGCGGTTGGCTTTTACCATGCCTTCTGCTTCGTCAAGGTGTGATTTGAGGAAGCAATCAGGTCGCAGCGACTATCTCTCCACTTTCCTCATGCTTGTTCGCCAAGACGGATCGAGGAGCCAAGTCACTACTTGGGAGGATAGCATGTCCTCTCCAAGAGCGTGCTGGACGGTCTTGACCTCGAATAGAACGAGAGATCATCAAGGGGTACGGTCAAGACATTTTCACTCGTGATGAGATTGCATGGACGGTATCTTTCGTGACTCGATCTTTACTTCACATGGCCTGTCGCGCTGGAAGCTATTCATTCCTCAAAGACCGAAACTGATCGAGAAACACTAGCTAGATGTACACTAGAGGCAGCAGATTACCGAGTACTGCTCATCAAAAACAAGATTTTCCTTCATATCTTTGTGAAGTTTCACGTAGTTACCTATTCAATCGGTATTAAAGTGGTATCTGTAGCGGTCCGATCTAGGTACTCGTTATAAAAATACATTCACATCGCACCGTCACCGTCACCGTCACTGTCAATCCCCTTCCCTTCAATCTGTTGGCTATCAAGAATCGATCGTTTGAAAAACAAAACCCATCACGACGTCTGCATGGAAAGCGCTAAGAGAGGGGGTGTTGACAACCGAACATGACGCAAGGACAAATCGAACCAATGAACGGATAACCGAACGACCAAAAAGAGTAGCAGCATTCATGATGCTGAGATTGGAATTGCTTCAGGTAGGGAATAGATCTGTCTGATTCTTTCGGATCATTATCTGGGGGAAGAAACAGATCTCGTCTCGTCGAAGCCCGGCTAGCGAGCCATTTCCCATTCCGTTGCATTTACCTCACGGCCTCTTGCCTACCTACAAACCAGCCAGAGGGATAGCTTGTTTGTATAGGCCCTCATTCTATATAAAATTGCATCGCTTTTTGTTCATACAGTTTCCCTTGGTCCGCTTTTCTCTAACTTCCAACAGATGAATGATGATCTCCCCGGTCTTGGCTCTACTCGGCTCAGTCTCGAGAAAAAAGAATATTCCCGAATAATGCTGGGGGATCGAGACAGCTCGGCAGGGGCCAATCTTACTATGAGCTTTGGGCCTGCGACCTGCTATCATCCTTCGAGTGGCGCGCACACACACAAGCCTTTACCACTAGAAGGGTGGAAGCCAGAATGGATACCCGCCGTTCTTGATGCGGAACACGCTCATCAGGAAACTGTACATGCCGAAAAGCACGGTCGCCCAGATGATGACGGCGACCTGCTGCGTTCGAGAATCTTTGATGCGTGGTACGCGCAGGGCGAGGTTGATGGCTGCGAATGCCAGTAATGCGTCTGCGAGAAAACATTAGTATAAACCACACCCTCGTGGAAATTCTGCGTATTGAAACTCACACATCGCAGCGACAATCTGCGTCTCCATGCCAAATTGATTCGAGAACCCGCCCGCAAAGTAACTGATCCCACCGCGCCCATTGCCCGCGATGTACGGCACTCGCCGGATGTGGTTGAACATATGGCCGGAGGTGAAGAGTAGGATGAGAATGAGAGAGATGCCAGCCCAGAGGTTTCGGTTCTGGATTATGGGTAGGATATAGGGATATGCGACGGTGATGAAGGTAAAGAGACCGAGCAGGATCGTCACGGTTGCGCCAATACGCCCGTAGTTGATCGGTCGGTTCACACCTGGGTAGTCTCCGCCAGGCAGTTGTCGTAGGATCCAGCTGTGCACGCCCTCGGCGGTCTGGGGACCTAGGAAATCGAAGCGTACGGGCGAGCCGTCGGGTTTGGCACCTGTGCCGACTGTGGGTGGGAAGAAGAGTAGGACTGGAGCCGTTTGCAGTTGGAGCTGGAGTGCAAAGTTAGGAATGATAGATCTTAACACAGTCGAGACAGTCCGTATGTAATCCCAGTATCTGGTATCGCTTCTGCTGACGTACCTTCATGAATACATTCCTCCCATTATCGAAATCAATGGTGCTGAACAGGACACGATGCTGGCCCTTCCGATCCGCCTTCTGCCAACTATTGCCAATGATCTTCCACTCGAGATCGAAGTCCCGGCAGATCTTGCATGCATATTTGGCGTCCCGCGCCGTCAGCAGCACGGCCAGCGAGTAGTCCCGCGGTGCGACCGTCAGGTCATTGTATGCCTTCTCGTCGAGTTCGAAAGGTGCGGATGACGCTTGCTTGCCTAGGTATGTGTCGAACTTGCTGGACGAGGCGGAGGCACCCTTTTTCGCGGCGGTGACCGCGGAGCTGAGCGTCAGCGCAGTCAAGGCCAGGAACTTGAACAAATGCATCGCTGGATGGGGTGGTCGGTGATGGGAGGGGGAAATGGGTGTTGAGGGAGACTCTGGCAGTTGGATGCATGTCCAGTCAGTGAGTGTCAAGTGGCCTCAAAGGACCATGTCTTGGCATGCATAATCTTATTTCCGATAAGACCGACATGTTGTATGTGGGTTATCAACTTGGACGTGAAGTTGTTGTCTTCTTAGTCCTATTACGATAGAAAACCCATGGGATATTATCAGACTTCCTACACCATATAATGAGCGTCAATTTCTATACTGTATGTTTTCTTATTCTACCTTCCTCCACTTGACCATTCCCCCCTGCCTAAGACCCTGACTTTCTCCTTTCCTCCTCGTCGTTAAGAGGACCCTAAGGCTTCACCTCAACCTGCCCATCTAGAGAGGCGAAACGGCGTCCTTGTAGTTGACATCACGTTGTGGCCAATGACCAGTAAGAACCATCCATTGGGCCAAAGACTCATCGCCTCCCCAATATTTTTGCGCAAAGGCTGCCATTAGATCATTGCCGTTGAGCAAAGTGCCACTAGTCCACATTTTTCCATCTTGGTGCCATCGCTTCTCGTGCCACTCGGTGTCTTGGGATAACTGCTTCGCGATCGGGAGAAGTGGTCGGGGAGCCGTTGCAGATAGACCTTTGAGAATACCCGCTTGCAGGGGTGCTTGGATGCCGCCGCAAATGGCAATGAAAGCGCTGCTGCCTTCATAGGATTTGCGGATGTATGCTAGTTCCGTCTCGTTGGGCGTGTATTTAAAGTCATGGGCGCCCATGATGACGATGTCCAGGGGTGGAGAAGTTGTAAAGTCATCCTATAATGGGGAGCACCGTTTCTCAGTACATTTGATCTCACAATACGAAATATGCGCTTTCATAAGTGCTGCGTATAATACCAAGGCACAATAATAATGTTTAGCTGGCCAACACTAACCGTTGGAGTGATGTTAAGACCTCCAGTCAGCTTGGTCGGGACCTTTTTCTCGCTGACCCAATGAAAGTTCATGTCAAGTGCCTGGGCCTTGAGTTTCGGGTCAATGAACTTCTCATCCCAATCGTCCAAGCACTGATGGGACAATGAGTACAGCATATCGATTGGGGCAACGTCTAGGATCTCAGTTGTGCTGCAGTTCGATCATCATGTTAGCTGTCACCGTCCTGGGTGGGATTGTGGGATTGGATTGGCATACCCTCCCATTAGGAGAACTCCAACCTCGATGGGTCGATTAGGCTTGCTGAGATCAAGTGGTGCGGTGGACATGGTGGCCTCTTGAGTTGAAATCGTGTGGCAATTCCAAAGTTCTGCTAGTGTCGATTTGAGTTGAAGTTTGACAGAATTGTAGTAAGTGAGTTGATAACAATCGAGAAGGCATGTCTCCTGGTTTTATAACCACAGACAGAGGCTCAACCCAGACCCTTGCTCTGCTGTCTGCAATACTGCTATTCTCGGAGAGACATAATGTGTGTCGCTCTTCACAGCCTGAGCAATTTCATTCCCGACCAAATGATGCATGGAGTCTCCGCTCATAAGCCTACTCTGTTGCACGCATCACTGTTTGAGCAAGTTTTGGTCTGTTCTTGGAATGCCTCTCGAGCCAGTTGCATGCCAAAGAACTCTTCTGCCTGTGCACCACCTGCCTCTGAGGCGTGTCAGGATCTCAAGACAACATTATCTCGACGCGGGGAATGTGCAGGTGGGTGGCTTTTGACCTTCAATGGGACCTTCGCCTAGGGCGAAATGCGCGAGCCTCGTCGAGAAATTGTGGATCCGTCGCCCAATTGAGATGGATTGCCCAGTAAGGAATGGCGCCGGAAGAATATCTGTCCAGAAAGTGGTACCTGCATTCGTCCGACAGGGGTGGCGCCTATGCTTGAGCAATCGGAGATCGAGATACCCATCTAAGCGCCGCGCTCGCGGCTCTTCGCGTTTATGTCGAGCTCAACTGTCGAATCATTCCCGGTTGGTCTTGATTTCAATTTCACAACTCCGCTTCCGAGGTGTACACAGCAGGAGAGACATCTGAGCATGATAGGCACTCTCGTTTAATCCTCGTACGTCCAGATCGTGTACCCACATACGAAACACCATGCCGAGAAGTGTCATTCCGGTACTTGGGTTCAATCCTCAGATGAGCGGCAGAATAAAAGATAGAGGTAGTAGCAGAGGAACATATGCATGTCCTTTGCGAGAGGTTCATCTAAAATTGTATTTGGCGAGGTGTTTGTCTAGAAGCTTCAGACTTACGGGTTTGACCAGGAATTCGTCTGATCCCGCTTCCACCGAGCGAAGACGATCATTCCGTGAATCCTGACCTGTGATTATGAAAATCTTTGATGGGGGCAAGGCATTGGCGGCTTCAAACGCTCGGATCGAAGTACACGCTTCTAGCCCACCACAGACAGGCATTTGGAGGTCCATTAATATAAGGTTTATTGGACTTGTATCAGTTTCCTGGGCCATTTTGAACTGGTCAATTGCTTCCTGTCCATTTGTTGCCAGTAGATATGGGATAGCTCTCTTCTCGCAATACATTCGGAGGACTTTAAGATTGATGGCATTATCGTCTACCAGAAGAGCTCTTGGTGATGTAGGGGTTTTCCCGACAATTTGAGTTGTAAGAGTAAGTGAGCAGAGGGTTGGGATTGGGTCACTTTCCGTGCTGATGGTGCTCGCTTGCAACTGTGATGTCGCATTTCGCTGCGCTGAGTCTTCATTTTCGAGATACTTCTCAGGCACAGTTTCTTTCGTCACAAAAACCAAGTCTGGAATCTCGATCAGGAAATGAGATCCTGTCCCAACCTCCGATGACACAAGACGAATCGCACCACCCAATAGGTGTGCCGCCTTAACTGCCAATGTAAGACCAAGTCCTACTCCATTTTGGTGAATCGAGATCGAACCCTTCTCAAAAGGCTGGAAAATCCGCGCGCGATCAGCGGACGGAATGCCAGAACCGGTATCGAGAATTTCGAATTGCAAGGTTGAGCTTTCTGAGCCTGCAGACACTCTGATTGTAATGCTACCAGATGTTGTTGCCTGCAACGCGTTCACAATAAGTGGCTGGAGAGCGTCTTGGAGAATGCCGGCGTCAATCATGACCAGGTCTCTTTCTGGGGCCAATCTTACTTCAAAAGATAACATGACATCGGAATTGAGAGGTTCCGAAATTGATTCTCGCAGGCGATCCATGACATCCTTTTCCAGGAGATGAAGATCATATAATGTTGGTTTCAGGTCGTTAGCCATATTTCGAGACCAGGAGTTGAATTTGAGTAAATCGTTGACGGTGGCCATCAGTTGAATTCCTGACTGTTGGATTGTCCCCACATGTGCCAAAGCCGATTCTTGAATGGATCTTTGTAGTTCTTGACCCGTCGTAGTGGACATTCCTGGAGATGCCAAAACTTCTCCGAGTAATTCACTGGAAGCAAGCAGTCCATGAATAGGTGTTCTTAGTTGGTGAGTAATGCCACGCAAAAAAGCCTCTTTGGCGAGTAAGGCCTCCTGGAGCTCTCTTCGATGGATAGAATCAGTCATGATTTGGGCGCATGTTTCGATGAACCAGGCATCATAGTCGTCAAAGACATGTTGGATATTGCAAGAGGCAACCACCACGAAGACATTGAAATGTCCACATTTGCCCACTATTGAACGGACCGTTTGCTTGGAATGTAATTTGGCATGGTTTAAAGTCTGGATCAATTTATAAATCAGGGCAGTATCCTCCCAAAGACCGGCTCTTACAGCCTTAAAGTTGATCTTCAAATCTCCGCCTAAAGATACAGCGTGCTCTTGGGAGGTTTGTATTGTTACAGAGGCATCAGGGTAAAAGGATTGGATCAATGCGATGAGTCGATCTTTAAGGTCCGTTTCCGAGATATCGGTTGCTTCTTTCAGCTTCAGCAAGAGTTCCAACTTTTGTTCTTTTTCTCGGATCCGATTTTGTCGTAACGTATCGACGAGCTCCATGGTGATGATTTCGGCAAATCGTACTAAGGATGATTTCTGGTCTTCATTCAGTGGCTTTTGTACCGAACTGGAAGCAATGCACAAAGAACCAAGGGCCACCTCTTCACCACTTTCTGTTTTGATTCGGAGCTGCGTTCCAGCGTAGCTGCGCAAACCGCCAATGGCGACATAAGGGGAGGACTTGAAGCGCCAGTCGGCTTCCATATTGGGGATGGAGAAGACGGTGCCGGGTGCTTGATTGATGGTATGTGAGCATGGGCTTTCTCTTCTAGGTAGCATTGCCAGGGGCATATTTATGGCAGCCAGTCTAGTAAAGACTGCTTCGTCAACCAACCCGACGAGGGCGAACTCCCATCCCATGAATTTCTGGACAATGGTGAGAAGCCCCTGTATTTTTGACATCAAGACATGGTTCTTGGTAATGAGTCTGGTGTAGTACCAGAGGAGGGTCAAACGCAGGCACTCGTTATGGGACAGGTAAGGAAATAGGTAGGGATCGTTGAAAGCCTCTGGTTGCGGAGGAGCAACGGCATCCACCGTCGTCGCAGTTGTCTCGTCTCCATAACAGAAGTGACGGAGGGCATGGTCGAACTCGATGAGAGGTTTGTTGGAGTTCAAGGGATCCAAGATTGCGGATATCTCAGTTGGGTGATCCGAGAGTTCATGATGGGAATCTGATGTCGTGCCTGTTGCCGCCGAAGAGTTGGCCGTGGGGAAAAAAGAGGCGGGCACCGCCTGTGGCTTTGTCATATTGAAGTCAGCAACTCACGTGCACCGACAACCAGGGGTGGTCTTGCTAAACACATCCTATGAAACGGTTAAGAGTGTCTTGATGATTACAGAGACATGAGGCAGCCTGAGAGCGATACGGATCAACAAGTACATAGAGTTTTATTCGGAAGATAAGAACAAGTCGGAATGACCTTCAAGGTTCGGTCCCGTGAAAAAAAGACTTTCAGTTTCTCAGGGGCCCCGCGTGTGCCACCACCACATGGCGGAACACGAAGTACGCTGGTCTGGACGCAACTCTCATAGCATTGCAGGTCTAGACTTGCAAAGTTCTCGGCTGTCATCTCCGTTGATCTGGAAGATTTCTCCAGGTACGAATACTGGTCAAGGATAGCAAAATCCTCGCGAGCTGTCCGCTTCTCGAAAATTGCTGATTTCATAGAATTAATTTATATCCAATTCTACATAAAGGGTTTGCCAGGTTGGTCCTCCCCCATTCCAACGCCTTGCTCATGCCACTGCGCAGATAGATTGGATTGATCTCGGTGACATGGCATTTTCCAATCTTTAACCTCCCTTCTCTAGCACATCGCAGATTCATAGCCACAATGAATGGAAAGCGGTTATGCTACTTCTGCAAGTGGGGTTGGTGAGAAGAAGCTGGAGAAGGCGATTGTTGATATCCAGGGCTACCATTCACAGTGGGCCTGGGCTCCAGATCGTCCATTCCGTAGACCTCCTTTGGTCGGATCATGGTAGGGAACCACCAGAGCAGTGCCGCCATGACAAGGCTCATGAGCGCTGCATCAAACACATAAAGTGGCCATTCATGTGACAACAGATACCCATCGCGCCCGAGACCATACTCGACGACACGGAACAGATTTCGAACCATGATCAACAGACTGACACCGTAGAGCACATGCAGCATCGTTTGCCATTGGATCTCCGGGCGTGTTGATTTCGGCGTCGGCTGCTTACGGATGCGCGAGTGGAAGATCAGCGCGACGATGATGAACAGTCCGAACAGCACAATCTGCAGAGCTAGACCGGCCAGGATGACGTATTTGCCCAAGTTGGCTTTTGTCTTGTCGTTGTCTGCGCTCGACAGAATTCCACCGCCTCCGCCTTGAACAAAAAAACACAGGACATCTCCAGCCACAAATATCTTGGTCAGCCGCGTCGGTCGGATTGGGGAGAGAGCATCGCCTTGGATGGCACGAACAGTTCGCCCGAGGATCATGTAGATGGTGGCACTGAAGATAGCGGGCGCAATGAGGATCAAGACCGTCTGCAGGATATAAGTGATCCTGACGCATGGGTCGTTGTGGCCTGTGATGCGAATGACGAAACCCACGATTTCAACTGTTTGAAGATTAGAAGAGTGAACCCCAATTGTGCAGGGAAATCCAGGAGCAAGGACTTACATCCACCACCGACGACGAGTGCAGTCAGGAACCATTGCCTCGATCTGATCATGCGGAACACGTGGCCGGCAGTCAGAGCGGCGAAGATGACGGCGAAGATGACGGCCGCGACAATCGATGGCTCATACTCGTATAAGTTGAGCTTTCCATTCTCGCAGTAAGTTCGTCCCATTCTCAATGCTGAATGAAGATTCGTGACGCTTTAGTAGGTATCACACGGTGAGGGACTAGTGGAAAGCCTGTGGCCGATGAAAGGAGCTGGCAAGAGAACTGACAGGCAGAAGAAAGTAAAGTCTCGCTCTGACAATGAGATGATGATTTCCAATCCCAAGGTCCTAGAAAGACGTCGGCGAGGGTCGTGTTATAAGCAGAAACAAAAAGCAGAAACTTCAGAAACACTTTATAACCCGCGGGAAACACCAACAGAGCAACAGCCTTCACCAGGGTGCCGAAGTACTTGCGAGCGACATTACCTGCAGACTGCAATACGCGGATACCGGCTGCCTCGTCATACGGAGCCACTCCTCGAGGCACAGGGCACCACAGCCTCGCGAGCATCAGGCCTATGTCTGCAGCAGTGGCAGTGCAATATCAGATACCATAGCGTACAAGTCAACTGTACGTGACCGGCTCACAGAGTAGATGCAGCCATCCAAAGCAAACGGACGCGATGGTGCGGCTCTTGCTGGAGAGGACCTGGCGAAACCGCCAGGCACCACTGATTCGGCCGCGCATGATTGGGTAAGGCTAGCATCCACCACGAAGGACCAAGAGGCTGTTCGCACGAGGTAGCATATACACATAGGAAGCCATTCAAATATCGACACATGAAAGCGAGACAACGGTTCGACCAACACCATCCTACGGGGTACCCTCGTTTCCGCGAGGCTGTGCTTCGATCCAATGTAGCCTAGGGAGCCAGATACGGTCCAATCATCGAGACGACCGTGGTCATCATGCACCTGCATGTTAGCCGAGTACGACGGAAAGGACCTCTATACGCGGATAGATCTTTCGTTCCCGCTATGTACGGATACATGGGCGATGATGACAGGGTGAGTACTAGATACATGTGGACAGTACCTACTCGGCAGGTTCGCCTGTATGCACAATAATGAGGCTCAAGGGGGGTTCCCACCCGGTGATTATTCTGGGGAGGCCTCGCCTCGCACTGGCATTTTATTGAGGCATGCATACCCACTGGGACGCAAAACATCCGCATAGTGGATGGATCCCCCTTTCCTCACGAACTGCTGTCAAATTCTAGCACTCATGAGTGAAAATAGAAACAACTCACGCTGCAAACGCACGGTAGAGGCCAGACGCAAGATCAGATCAGAGTTCAAAATCTTTTCGAGAGGGAGCTATACATCGGCACTTAACATACTCGTCCATGGACACACACGTGTTCAGTTCATCGTCATACCTATTCATATCGCTTTCACACATTTCCTTACTGCACACACAGAGACGCTCGATTCAGAACACTGGGCAGTACCCGCTCCCGTTTCCCCGTTTCCGCATCAAGCAAGCATGCAAGTCAATCAAGAATAACAAAAAAACAGCGCCCGTAGCCAACGGTCAGCCGAAAGTAGCGGTATCCCGACTACTGATCATCTCACCATACCTGCCTCTCTGCAGTGTGGTGTCGTACGCACTGAGCACGCGCATCTGCTGGCCACCTTCGTCGCCGGCCGAAAACGCATAGCCGCGCTGTTTGCGCATGCGCTGCACCTGCCGGACCTTGCGCACGGCTTTCTGGAACTGCTCCATGCGCGGCCGGTAGTCCTGCACGTTGTATTTCTGGATCTCCTGCACGTGGTGGTACGCTTGCGGGTAGTACATTCTCTTGGCATATTTCCATGCGAAGTCTCGGATTAGACACACCGGTGGCAGGACCAGGCACATCGCGTAGAAGACTGGTGAGGTGAACATTTTGGGGATGATGCCTTCGAGTTCGGTCGAAAATCCTTTCCCAATGTTGGGTGCCGCGTATGCGTATGCCGGGAGGAATATGAGCCAGATGATGAAGGATCCGGGGATGGCCAGTACGGTGTATTTGGTCCAGACGTTGGTGATCAGTGCTGCCTTACCCAGAACGACAAGCAGAATGGCGGTATAACTGCTCGTACCCCAAAGCCAATGGCCTCCGATCTGACCGTTCGAGAGGATCAGGTCCTCGTAGAAAAAGTATGATGAGAAGATGTACGCGAGGATTGAGTGGTAGAAGCCGTTGCCAACCCACGACCAGAATGAATGCATCTTGAAAAACACTCCTTTCTGCGTCAACTGATACAATTGTGGGTATCGATCTAGAAGGCGAGCAGAGATGAATTGGTCAAAGATACCCATTGCGAAGGGAGGAAGCACAGTGAAGAAGACATTGTAGAAGGACAACGTCCATGATTCGTAAATGACTTGGCCGGAAAATGCGTTTTGGAATGAGTACTGAAAGAGGTCAGTAAAGGCAAGCAAAAGTCAACATGATTTCGACTTACCCAAAATTGTGTCATGAACATTGCAATGTTCTTGTAGAATGAGTACAGAATGACCTTGCTGATTCTTTGATAGCTCCATGCACCATGGACGAGAAGCAATTTTCTCAGGTATCGGAACTGCCCGATGGCAACATCTGCACTACGTGCAGCTTGCAGACCCTCCACACCACTGATACCGACACCGACGTGAGCGGCTTGAATCATGGAAACATCGTTGGCACCATCGCCAATGGCAAGAAGAATGGCTTTTAGATGCCGCTTGACAAGTTTGACAACGAGAGCCTTTTGCAAGGGTGAGACACGGCAACAAACCACAGCTTTGCACATGACGGCCAGATCAAGGAACAATTTCTCCATGTCCTTTTCCAAGGCAAAGGTCAAAGACTTCCCGTCAATGACAAGAGCCATAACCTCGTGTTCTCCAGATTTGGCTTGATTGCGCACGGCGTCTAGTTTCTTTTGGAGGTTGTTCCTGGTATCGGTCGCATTCTCTTCGTTGACAATCAATAAAGTCATCTCTTCACTGATTAATTTGCAACTCATGCCAATGTTGATGGCAGTCTCTTGTCTATCACCGGTGAGAACCCATACCTTGATTCCGGCAGTCTGGAGTGTATGGATTGTGTCTGGAACTCCGTCTTGGAGGCGATCCTCGATGGCTGTTGCTCCCAGCAAAAACAAATCATGCTCGATAATTTCTGCCGCTTTGTCCAATTCTTCAGCACGGTTGCCACCTACAGTGGTAGCTGCCTTGTCGAATATCTGACGCCATGTCTGGTATTCTTGTTCCGGTACTTCACGCATCGCGAGACACAACGTTCGCAGACCTTCCGTGGCGTAATCTTCAAGTTGCTGTAAGGTGATATCCACGATAGGATTGTCTTTGGCCAGCCTTTCCAAGATGACTGTATCGGCACCTTTGCAGTATATTCTGATTTTGCCATCGGGACATCTGAAAATAGTTGACATACGTTTTCTCGTGGAGTTGAATTCGCACACGGCGAGTAGCTCGTACTCGAACTCTTGTCCCTCCACTTGGATAATGACTGACCGCGGTTTTCTGGCAACGAACTTGTATCCTAACTGTACAGCACCTTCAACGAGAGCGCCTTCATCGGGTGACGCCGCCTGGTATTTGATTTCAGACTTTTCATCCTTTCTTTCCGGGATAACAGTATGGCACACTGCCAACAGTGCCAAGAAATGATGAATAGCCGTTGCACTGGGGTGGCTTTTGAGATTTTCTCGTAGCTGTTTGAAATCATGAACACCGCTGGTATCATCTGGACCGTTCGCCCTTCTATCTTCTGGCACCACCCCAGCATATTGCAGTCCACCAATAGTACATTGTTTGAACTCCATGATATTGCAGGTCAAGGTGCCAGTCTTGTCGGAAAAGATATACTCTATTTGTCCCAACTCTTCAACTAGTGATGAGGTTCGACAAACAGCCGGCGTGTCCGTATCTGGAAAGTAGATGTCTAGGTCGTTGTTGATGAGGAACGCCTGATAATACTTGACCAATTCTATCGTCACAAAGAGTGAGATAGGGACCAGATTGGAATAGAGGACCCAATATGTGAAGATGTCCAAAAAAAATTGGGAGGCCACGTTGAAGCTGCCATAGTACAGATAAGTCAATTTCGTGCCGGCTCTCAGTCTGACAATGATGTCACCAACTGTGCTGATAGCACTGAGTACCAGAAGAATCACGACCAGCATGAGAATTTGTCGATTGAGCATTCGCTCAACATTTGTACGTTTGATGGGCGTTGCAGTTGCATTCCGCATCAGTTTAGTTTCATGACCAGTAAAGACCACCAGGCCGTGGACCCATGGTGTATTTCTCAAGGTGGCACCACGGAGTAATAATTGTTCGGGATTTAATGGAAGTTCTTTTTCTCCACCGCCTCCTCCACCTAGCATACTCAGAGTCGCTTCGTATGTATACAAACTGCTGTTGGGTTGTTCCGAGCGAACACGGCCACCGAGTCTTCCCAGGTCCGCTGGACTGACGAGATGAGCAGTTTCAGGGATGGCTTGCTTGATCTTCAAGTTGGTCTCGCCATCCAAATTGGCGGTCTCGATATAGCACAGACCTTCTGGTTCTGAACTTGCTAATAGGACCAAGTCGGCTGGGAATGGCTCCTCGGACTCCACTCGAACAATGTCTCCGACAGCAACATTGATCCACTTGGTGTCGACAAAATCCGAACCCTTTAGAACTTGCGCTCGAGAGTCATTGAGACTTTTGTCGGATGTTTTTCTCTTGTTATCCTCCACCAATTCTTTAATGGCTGACACCAAGAGCACGATGCCTAGGGGTACAATGGTTGTAAATCGATTGGTTGGAGAGACGTTGGGGATTTGTTGGAGGACCGCGGTGAAAAGGAAGAATAGATTGGCGTATTTTGAGAATTGTTCGTACAAAAATTTGGGTAAGAAAGTGGCGACATTGTATTTGGCGGTGGAAACATGATTGTCCACCCATCTATTGCCGGCATTGACGGGAGAATTGTTGAGATGGATAATTCGGGGGCCGAGAGAAGCAGGGTCGACCTTCTTTCTTCCAAACATGGCTTTGACATTGTCAAAGCTGAAGCTTTTCTTCTCTTGCGGAGGTAAGGTCGACTCAGTGCCAGCGGTATTAGCTCTGGCTCTGTTTCCGGATTCCGTCAAAGGTAAGTTCATGTCGGAGTAGTTGCTGTCTCTCATTCCTAGGGCCCCTTTGGCCCTGTCCATAATACCATTCATAGACATCAAGCTGCTGCGAGTTCGACCATGGTGTCCAACAACCTGCACTCCACCGCCGGGGATATGTTCATCAGCGGTATCAGCATCGTCGTAGTATTTGTATCCCGGCTCTTCCCCAGGATAATCATCAGCATCGCCATATTTCGAGTAGTTGTGGAGGTCAGAGGTCTGTGAATAATTTCTGGAGCCATCAGACATGAAAGGTGCATTGAAATGTCGACTTGAACCTGTGGCTATCGGTTGTTGCGCATGGTCTGGGGCTGGTGCCCTGCCTCCGCCAACAAAGTCATCGTAACTTGTCGAAGGTCTCGGTTGGGCTTCATCTGAATCATCGATGTTATATGTGTGTAATAGTTGGGAATCGTCAACAGGAGGTCGTTGCCCTGAACTGTAAACGGGAGCGGGATTACCCAGGTCCAGGAGATGATCTTGATTGTAGTTGCTGGATGTCGGAGGCGCATTCGGCCGCCCGGCCATTTCTCAAAGCACCCAACTGGTTATGAGGATGAGAAGGGATTCGAAGTCATCAGCGATTGATGGAGAGTATGTAGTGATGGTCCGATTGAGCTGGAGGTTTAGGTTGTGGTGGTGCGCAGGAAGGATAGGTGTAGGGACGGGGCGGAGACTGAGGATGTCAGCGTTACTGTTACTGCAACCAAAGAATGCGGTGCCTGTGATACTCAGTCTTGTGGTGGACGAGGGACTCCGTAGCACTTAGCCTGCGGGCTCTAGCCCTCCGTACTCTGGAGGTGGTTGGGTTACTTGAGTTTAGTGGGAGGCGTTCTCACTAGGCGAAGTCAAGTTGTGTGCAAGTGCCAAACTAAGGGCTTACTGGCCAGTCTCGGCGTCCGGGTGACGGTTCTAGCGCCCGCAAAGCCCTTAAAACTGAACTCCGGGCTGAAGCTGAGCTACAAAGGGCTGAGGGACCTAAAAGGACAGCCAAAAAGTAAAAGTGGCAAGGTGAAAGAAGGTGCCCAGGTGGTTTCAGGCTGCCAACGGTGCTTAAACCACCACTCGAAACACCACCCATTTTGGATCGCTCCACAGCTAAATTATAACATCCGCTCTGAGTCTCCGTGAACACTCAAGTTCTTAGAAATTTTGCTGGAGCCTAAACCAACAAAACCCGACATCAAATCCAAGAACGAAGCCACCTTCTTCAGCTTTTGCTCTGTCCACTGAGAATGCTTATCACAGGAGTGAATTTCACCTAGTCCCTTGGGATCCAGGTCAGATTCGTCATCCTGCTGCAAAATCCCTTCTCATCGTATTTAAATAGATCATCCTGAGACGAACACTGCCACCTTCTACCGCGTGCAACGCACCACCATCCATAGTTGACTTGGCTCCTTATTTTACTGATATCAAAATGGATAGCTCTACCTTGCCTTTCATTGAACGACAGCTCTCCACATTGTGGCTATCGCTATTCTCTCTATCTAGTCACAATTGTACTAGAATATCTGTCCGGATGTTCTCGCAGGCTCCCAGTGCCAGTATCCGTAGGATGACCCAACGACCTCGTGCTCGTTCAACACAATCCATCAACTGAAACACGTGCATAATTTATCTCTCATTTTCCGCCCTCAACTCAGCTATCAGTCCACCCACATCACGCCTCGTTGCATCCTCTGCCAGCTTCTTGGTCACTATGCCATTGATCTCCTTGCCTTTGGCCAGGGCTGTGTTGATGCACTTGAGCAGCACAAGCGCATCGACCGGCCTTCCTCCCAACTTTGCCACTTGACATAATTCAAAATCATTGACCGTGAGCACCACCTCAGCGTCCCGCACTTGTTCTTCACTGCGTGTGGGATCAAGCAGGACAACCTCGCCTTCCAGATAGAAACTGTATGAGACACAGACCGGATGGTGCATGATGCTCAGTGGGACCGGTACTCGTTCAGCCATCGTGTAGATAGTCACGCTCTCTCCGGCCACTGAGACATCGGGTCTTCGAAAGTGCCGTAATGCGGCGATGATGGCGATGCAGGACGCATCGATCAAGCCTCCGTCTGCGTCCAACACGTGTACATCTGCCCGGATGGACCAGCACTTCGCTCCAGCAATGATACATAATGACTCGGTGTCGATCGCATTGGACCGCCGTATTGCCTTCTCGAGGATTCTGGAAATAATCACTTCTTGCTCCGTTGGTCTGTTTGCAGAATCATTAGCCCGTAGTTCTGTGGGACGTTGTAGACACCTCCAGAGCAATGAATGCCACGTACCTGCCCACTTCAAACGCAGGAGACGCAATGGGGCTGAGCTCCGCCGTGATGGTGAAGACGCCCTCGAACTTACGCTCCTCCAGCGGCTTGGTCACTTCGGCTGATATTTGCACGTGGATTCTGTTTTTCACTGGTCAATGTCTGGTCCCTCAGTCTCGCCAAGTGGACGCCGTACCTAGTCTTGCCTAACCGGAGCGTAACAGTGCCATACTCATCACCGAACTCAAGGTCCAGGTCTCTGAACTGGTCGAATCGTCTGCCATCCACACGAACGTTTTCTTTTAGAGCATTCTGAATGAAGCTGCGTTGGATGTTGGAGATCTCACTCTCGCGAGGCATGGTTTATTGGCTTGTGTTGGTTTGGGGTCAGGATTTTTGAGTCGCGGATAAGATTTGGCCTCGAAGGACATTGGAAAACTTGTTGACAACGCCAAAGTGGGCTTGATCAATTATTATTGAAGGATGAAGACTAATGAGAATCTGCTATTCACCAATGCCAGGCTTCTGAAAGGGTTTCATGGCATGAAACTCAAACCGCACGATTTCCCCAGAACTTTTTGCAATGACGATGGAAATCTGCACAAGGCTGTACGAAGCTCACGAGGCTCGCAAATGCCAAGAGTGTCCGGCATTACTTCGGAGAATCTGGTCACCAGTTCAGGGACTCGGTACTTGTGACTACGTGGTACAGTAAAAGCATAGCCTTCAGAAAGTCAGCAATGAGGCTGGTCTTGCTTTTGATTTAAAAGCCATATCCAGGTTATCATACTTGAGCTAGCAACTATAAATAGATCTCAAAGGCTTTGGCCGCGTCCAACACACTCTTCTCAAACTTGATGAATTCCTGTCCCGTGGCTTTGACAGCCTTGGATGCATCAATACTGGTTCCACCCGATTCAGGAGCGGGAATCTCCTTGATGATATCACGACGTTCAGGGTAATGCTCTCGCAGAATTTGGGATATCTGATGTATTCCTCCTGGGCCACCATATGCGATATAACGCTCTCCATCTGCCTTTTCGGGATGTTGGACGGACCAGACGAACAGGCGGGCAACATCTCGAACGTCGACGTAGGTTCCGGGCGCATTAAACGGCGGGGCGACGTCCAGCCCTGCAAACACTTCCCATACGTTTCGCACGGTCTCGTTTATGCTGTTTGCGTCCTTGAAGGGCACGAGGGGTGGTCCGGTCACGAGCCTGCAAGGAGTTTCAGCAGTTTGATTCGAATAAGAGTAGGGCCGTCAACAGAAAGCAATGTAGACTTACACTGGATTGATGGACGTCACGGCAAAAGATGGTGAATGCTTCTTCTGGAAATCCCAGAGCGTGCGTTCAGCCGCAGTCTTACTCGCAAAGTAGATATGGATACTGCCCGCCGCCTTTCCCGATCTCGCAACTTCTCCTTCAGAATAGTTGTTCCAGTCTTCCTCGGTGAAAGTATGTGGTTGCTGCTGGGCACCCATCAAAGCTGCAATTGAGCTCATAAACACCAAAGATTTCAATTGCGGACCTGCCTTGAGAGCCGAGTCCAGGATCGATGAAGTTCCTTGGATAGCAGCATGCAGGACCGGTTCCGGGTCCGTAAAATTAAGCGATACTGGGGCTGCCGTATGCAGGATAGCACTGACACCTCTCACAGCCTCGTCGAAAGCACCTGGAAGGGTGATATCCGGAACTTCGACGACCTCGAAATCACCTGCCTCGAATGCGGCTTTCAGGGCACCCTCTGTCAAGGATTTCGTGTTTGCCGTCTTTCTGGTTGTTCCACGGACTTTGAACCTTGCATCGAGAAATGCTTTGGCTACTTGTGCTGCGATATAACCATTGACGCCGCTGATGAGTACTATTTCCTTTGCCTCTATGGCCATGATGGGTGCTTGCAGTTTGTCAAGGTTAAGTTCAGAGTGGTTAGAATAGTTAGATGTTGTGTATATTGAAGTGAAATGGACGGCAAGAGATCAATGCTCGTCTCACGCTGCGACAGGCCATGTCTATATACTTTGATTTTCATCCGATGAGATGGCTACATACAGCCTTGTCGAGTGAGTGGTCATTCGGAGGCTGTATGAACAGGCAAATTGCCATATCCAGCAGTTGGTGAAGAACTTTGAGCCGAAAGGATCATCTCTGTGTCACTGAGTGGCTAGATACCCGCAGAGATTGGTGAGCAACACGAAATAACATTACTTACGTGCGTCGGCTGAACCAAACTCAAAAAACATTGTCTCGGCACAAATTGGGCAAACATCCTTGTCGCTTGAGTTTGGAAGTCTTGGATCATACGATCAATGTCATAAGCGACGAATAAGCTGCTCAAGCAACGAGGCCCAAGCATTATCTCCACAAGTTCGTGTTTTCGACACGTGAAAGTAGCTAAATCACAAGCATTAGCCATGGTTTTCGCTAAACCTCGTGAAGCAGTTGGTGGTCCTTCTCCAGAACAAGTGAACTGCGAAGTCGATTTTAATCGTGTGTATGTAATCTCTGACACTTGTTTGGCGATTAGTCACTCCCGAGATACTGCAGCTAGGCACAGCGTATTTCTGGAGAGTCAAGGCGTTGTTTGGCTGCTAATATTAGCATGGATATTTTCATGAGTTCCCATGTATCCACCAAGGCAGTACGAGGCAGACTGGCCAATTCACGAAGTTGTTGAAGGGATGACAACGACAAAGTCCCAATCGAGATTTATGAGTGTTCCAGTCAGCGTCTGCGGATCATAAGCTTCACAGTATCAAATACTGCGCAACACTGCGCCAGAGAATATAGTCACGTGCCAAGTGCATCGTAGGCGGCACTCGTAGAATAAGGCAAACGATTACTCGAGCAGACAATTCTTTAAATTCTCGAGCAATTCTGGACGACTACTGCTACAGTTCCCATAGCCCGTCTTTGCACTTTTGGCGTCAATCCCCTTGTTTTCAACCGGCCCAGAACCCTTTTAACCGCTTGGCCTCGCCATGACTACAGGTACAGAAGCTAGCACAGCTCCATATCCGCACGAGCTGACTTTTCTATAGCTCACAGACCGACATTTGACCCTGCGCGGGGAAAAGAAGCCCAGCGAGGTGTCGCATACCATCAAAGATTACTACCAGCATACACTCTTCTCAAAGTCAGGTGTGTAATCAAAGTTGTTCACAAGCTTTTGGACCAGGCCTAACCGACTTCCAGACAGCCTGGTCAAGGAGGAGCTGCAGACACCGAGCCAGTTGACCTACGAGCACAACTACTTGCAGCTGAAGCTGCGCATTTCGCAAAGACCAAGGGAACTCCAGTAGATACTGCAACAAGTCCTCCCAAGCCTGCGAAACGAGAACTTGAAGCCTCATTAAGCGACGACGAGAACGAGAACGAAGACCCTGATGCGAAACGAAGAAGAGTCCTGGAAGAAACTCGAGATATTGATGCAGATTCCGAAGACGACGATGAAGATTCCGACAGCAGTGAGGAAGACGACGAAGAGGAAGACGAAACGGCTGCGCTAATGCAAGAGCTTGAGAAGATCAAGCGGGAACGAGCAGAACAGAAAGCCAGAGAAGAAGCCGAACAATCGAAACAAGCGCAAGAACAACGAGAGGAAGATATCGCACTAGGTAACCCGTTACTCAATCCCAAGGCCTTCAATGTGAAACGAAGGTGGGACGATGATGTGGTTTTCAAGAATCAAGCTCGAGGCACAGAGCAAAAAGGCAACCAAGAATTTGTCAATGTACGATCACCAAATTCTCCTGATCTTCTGAGGTTTGAAACTGACAATGGGATAGGATCTTTTGAGGTCGGACTTCCACAAAAAATTCATGGTAAGGCGAACTCCAAAGGCATCGGGTCTATGCTCGCACTAACATTTGTGCAGTCGAAATATGTTCGGTAATTTCAATGGTCGCCTCCATCATGCAGTTTGAGGGAGGGTGTTGAAATTTTGGAGCACAAGTGGAGCAAAGATTCAGTATGGCTGAGATCGATTCGGGTTCTGCAAAAAGCAAGTTCGAAAAGCCCATGGCAACATGCAATCGCAGAAATCGCCACACTGGGTCGACTACTACTCAGTAGTCACGGCCATACCGTGGACTATAACATGGTCGAAGTGCAACATGGACATGGACAAAACCCCAAAGGACTGGGCAGTTCCCAGGTCTGCTCTGACATGGCCGCGACAATTGGAAAGCTGAACGCCAGACTGTTGTTAATTCAAGTCGAGGTCCGGTCTCGACCATTTGAGACCGACATGGTCTTTACACTAGAAGCGACTAGCGCCAGGCGGTGCAGAACAGACCCGCTGCCTCAGGTTCGAATGTTCCCTCCAGCTGGGATTGTGCATAACCTGAACCTGAACGGAAGTTCGCCTTCAGCTGAGCAGGAGACGAGAAGTGTGGCAACGGATGGCTGCACGTCATTACGAGTAAGGAGAAGAGGGAGAAATGGGAACATGTCACCATTGCGGGGTTGGATTTTCAAGGCACGAGGCCCGCAGTGGTTGCTTGCTGCAGCACAACACCAAGTTCACAAACCTGCCTCGCTTCAACTTCTCACCTCTCGCTTGAATTCTTTGTAAAACCTTACTCTCCATATTAGATCCAGACAACAGTTCGTATGAGGAGATGAGACGAAGTAATGAAACCGGGTAATGTCATGCATCATGTCTTCTCACCCAACGTGCAACGTGAGCTGAATAGCACGGGGTTACCGATTCCACTCCTCCATTTCCCCTCCCTCCACTGCACGTCGCCGTCACCCATCTTGCACCGAGAAATGACGACGCCTTCGTGCCTCTTCCCAGACTTCCCGAATCTTAGCTCATCTGTCAACAAGCCGTAGCTCAAATCAAGCTTTTTTCTTCCCACGACAAATCTGGTGCCCTTGCTGGCGTGTTTGGGATCCACGCGGGGTTCTCTTGCCAGGCCATTGGTTCCATCAAATGTCCTCACTACGTCTTTGTACATCGCATACGACATTGCTCAGGTTCATGGCGGCTTGAAGCGCGCTCACACCCGTACATGGTTGTTTTAGAGGGCCAATCTAAAACCAGAAGCTAGCTGGTAGCTGGTAGCTGGTAGCTGTCCCCTCGCTGAAGTCGCGTACTCTTGCGCCTGAATGAGGTGACGTGACGTCGTCGGATGCTTCTGATCTCTCTCTGTACCTGCCCTCACCGATGGAGGGGCAATCACGGCAAGCAAGCAGGTTTGTAGGTTTTCGTTCTGCATGGTCAGAGCATGTGTCTGCTGAGGTAGGACTAGGTAAGACAAGTTTGGGAGGTAGGTGACCAGAGAAAGTCGATTTCCTTCATAAATCCTGCTTCTGCCTCTTCTCTCCCTGCGTTTACTTCTGCCAAATCTTTTCGTACTTCGAATCTTCTTCTCCTGCAAATCTCAATCCTCCGGAATCTTTCCTGTTTCTTCTCAAAGAGAAAGTATCTGCTACAACAAGCCAGTCATGTCTTACAACGACGATAACGATAATAGCTACGTATGGTTTCCCCGCGTCCACGGGAAGCAATGCGCCGTCATTCCTTACTAACAAGTCACAGGGCTCCGGCAGACAGCAGGGCAGTGGCTACGGTGGCAGCGGCAATAATGATGATAGCTACGTGCGTACAAGAAGCATGCGCTGCTAGAAGTTCCTGCTGACAAGACGTAGGGTTCGAGTGGACAACAGGGTAGTGGCTTCGGTAGCAGTGGCAATGATGATAGCTACGTGAGTCTTCCATGAGTTCATGGGGAGCATGCGCTTCAGGACTCCTCGCTGACAAGTCGTAGGGCTCCAGCAGACAACAGGGCAGTGGCTTGGGCGATGACTCGTACTCATCAGGACGCACAGGGGGTGGGCTAGGCCAAGACGATTCATGTAAGTCAACCTTTGTCTCAGACCTGCTCTATACTTTCCTTCACCATATCTGAGTCGCTAGATGCTTATCAACAATAGATGGCTCCTCAGGCCGCACTGGCGGCGGGGATTCATATGGCAGTTCAGGCCGCACTGGCGGCGATGATTCTTACTCCTCAGGACGAACTGGCGGCTTGGGCGATGATTCATATAGCTCAGGACGCACTGGCGGAGCAACCGGAGGAGGTCTAGGCTCGGACGACACCTGTAAGTCTAAGTTCTTCTCGTCTCCCCCCAAATCTTCTCAAGAACAACGCCAATCAAAGAAACTCACAACGACTAACGCTTCGCTCGTGATGCTCAGATGGCAGCTCAGGACGTACTGGCGGCGCAACCGGAGGAGGCTATGGTGACAGCTCTGAACGTACCGGCGGCGGTTTAGGCTCTGACGACACCTGTAAGTCTGAGTTCTTCTGATGCGCCTCCAGATATCCTCAAAGGAACTCCGATCTAAGAACTTCACAATGACTGACGCTTCTCTTGCGATGTTCAGATGGTAGCTCAAACCGTACCGGAGGAGTGGGAAGCGGCGGCTACGGCCAGGACGACTCGACCACCGGTGGTGGACTCGGGAAGGATGATACGTATGGGAGTTCACGAGAAACAGGAGGAGGAGGTCTAGGTGGCAGTGGTCGAGATAACGACGACTCATATGGTTCCCGGACGGGTGGTGGCCTAGGTTTGTCTCTCTACTCCCCATCCTCGTAAGGCTGGACTTTCTCCTGGATGGACGATGGCATGATTCATCAGCATTTTGACACAAACGCAGGCCAGGATGATACCTTTGGCAGCTCAGGACGTACTGGCGGAAATAGCTATGGTGACGACGATTCCAGCTCTCGCCGAACTGGTGGTGGTCTCGGTTTGTTTCCCAATACCCATCCTCGCAAGACTGGAACTTCTCCTGGATCTTCGATGTCACGACTCAGTAGCAATTTAACTGACAAAAGCAGGCCAGGATGACACCTACGGCAGTTCCAATACCACTGGCGGTGCAACCACAGGCCGTGACAATGAATATGTAAGTCATCTCACCCATCTCCGCGCCTCACTCCCATAACCACACCCTTTTTCTAACACAATTCCCGTCCTCCAGGGTCTCGGATCAGGACGCACCGACGCGCAATCCAGTGGCGGCTATGGCGCGGGCGGAAACACAGGATCCAGCTACGACGACGACGACAACAACAACAGTTCGAAGAACAAGGACTCGACAACAGGAAAGTTGCTCGAGAAGGCCGGCGGCCTCTTCAAGAGCGACAAGCTCCAGGAACGCGGTGCTGAGAAGAGACGCGAGGCGGGCAACAATGATGACGACAACAACTACTAGTCAATATTGAACGGTAGCTAGTTAGCACACCTACCCTCTATGGTTCTGTTTAGTGTAGTAGGGACATTTTCAAGTGTTATTTGCAAGTCTGCTCTACCCTGTCTATCCTGAATTGCATGGGCCGAACCCATTATTTATTTCATCGAGCACTGGGACCAATACCCCGGTGGAGAACTAACTGGTGGCTCCGGCCCTGTCACGTGGAAGGCACGGAGGCCCCCTGGAGGATATCAATGTAGGTAATGATTGCACTTAGACTTCTAGAGCCCTCCAGCTTCAGTAGCCCTATGGATGACCCCGACAAATCCAAGTGGATCGAAGAACATCGACTGGGTTCGTCTAATATGTGACCTGATGTTGCCACGTCTAATGGAATGAACTTCAACGTGTGAGTTAATGGTCCGGCTGGTGTAAGTCCCGCCCTGGGGATGGCTGTGACCCCGGCAATATATGACTGGGTTTGCCGCAAATACCCACGTAACTCATCGTCTGACGCGCCGAATACCAATGCAGAATGGGATCCAGATCTATCCAAATTATGCTGCTGCCAACTCTGTAACTCGGAAGCATGATATTCGATTCCAGAGGTGGAACCCTATGGCGGTTGTCGATCACGCAACATTCCACTCCGGTCTATCGTCGCTCCCACCCGACGACACGATACTCGACGCCTGCTTTGTCGTCGCGCACCCACCCATCTGCTTCATCCTCAGATGGGTCTTTGCGTTCTGCATCAGTGCTGGAATTAAAGTCGAATGCCGAGGCGGGCGAGGAACCCGGAATGTCCACTCCGTCCGCCCAGGTCTCCAACGTCCTCTGCGACACCGCGCGCCAGTCCGACGTTGATGACGAAAACGTAATGTCCTCTGGGAAGAACGTATCGCACTCAAATGCCTCGCCGTTCAGCTTGTGGACCTGAGTCTGCAGGATCCGGATGTCGAACGCGGTGGAGTCGGCATCTGAGGTGTGCTCAGCACTCGTGCTTGACTTTTGCGCCGGTGGCTCTCTGGTCGTGGTGGGTGAGAGATCTGCGTCGTCCTCTGCTCCGGCCGATACGTGCGAGAGGGCCAGTATCTGGCTGTAGAGGTTGGCTCCACCGATGCAAAAGACTTTTTGGGGCGTGACAGTTGAGTTGGGGAGCGAGTCGGAAGATGAGAGGAGTGAGAGTGTCCGGGGCAATGACGAGGAGATCAGGACTGCAGATTTGGCAGTTGTCGATGACGGTGTCAGGAGTACGGTCGTCGAGACTGTAGCATTTGCGTCGGGCGCTTCACTGCTGCTCGCCTCACTAGATTTCGATGGTGTAGCAGCGGTCGAGAGGAGAAGGTCTTGCGTCTCCCAAGACTCGGACTCGGACGATGTCTGAAGTTCGTCCAGAACTTGTCTTCCTAGTTCCTTTACCTTGCCTCGCGTAATGATCACATTGAGCCGACCTGCTAGCGGCCGGAATTTGGAAGGAATACTTTCCCACGTCTTCCTCCCCATGATCAACGCGTTCAACGAACCAGGCGCACTCGACTCAGGGACCTTGGTCGTCAATTTCCGGAAGAAGGCCATGTCGCCTTTGATGCCCGACCATGGCAGGGTTCCTTGGTTGCCGATGCCCATAGAAGGCTTCAGCGCGGTTGCGACAATCACATAGATGGGTTTTGGATGAAAAGTGATGGGCACGATAGTGGTTAAGGTGGTTTTGATGATGGATGTCGTTGATGCCATTGGATTGGTTCCGTTGCGGTTCTCGTCCTCGCTGTCGTCGTGGTAGACTGGAGGGTAATTGAATGGGTTGTTGGAGGGGCGCCGGTTGGTAGAATATTCCGGCAAGTCAGTTGGCGATGGCGGGTCGGACAATGATGTTGCTGGTGGTGTGGCGATTTCGTTGGACATGTTTATGGTGGTGTTTGAGGCGGTCGGGGCAGCGTGAAGCTGCTTATCGGATGGTGATGTGTCCAAGTGGGAGTACTTGAAATATCAACGGGGTATCAACAACGCGTCCTTGTGGGCTTGAAAAGTTTAATTGTTGTGAAGAAAAGCTCTTGGGATTTGCGAAACGTGTCAAGCTCGACCCGAAGATTTGGTAGTGATGGTGATACTCGTATTAGTCAATCTTGTAAGTTGTGGTGGAGGTCGAGATACGAACAAGGCGCGATGCGAACCGATGGGGCTTATCCGTAGGAGTGCCTCTTATGTTCCCAGAATATATATCGTTATCCTGGTCAACCAGTGTTATCGGAACAAATCTCCCGAACTTGAAACAAGGATGACTTCAATTCTGTCAAAGGCGCAAACGAATTCCTCATGTTCAAGTACTCGTAGACCAACGCACAATTCTTCCAAGAGAATGCCCCTCAGGTGATGGTGAAATAACCTTTGACACGGCTGAGAAGCTTGTGCCAGTGGATGCTTCATTTCCACCCTCGTAACTTGCCACCAATTTGCGAGTCTAGACCCTCGAACCCGTTGAGGTCATATGTTGAAACCACCATTTATGGATCCCCTCGCTAGCTAATGTCGGTCCTACATGCCAAGGCAGACGTTTCAATTGACAGCACACAGCTTCTTCCACGTTGGGCGTGGTGTGGGAGAAACACGGCCCTTCCAGGACGATCTTGACCCGACTACGGAGAAATGGCGTTCGTTCGCATCCATCAATGGACCATGAGTCGTGCACAAATTCACTTCAGCCTTATACACAAGTACAGCTTGGATTCCAAATTCGGATCCTCCCAAAGTCGGAATCCCTAAACAGGCACCGACTCACCATCCTTGTTTGTCACTTGACTTGTGCTTTCGTATCGCTCCAGGAATCTCTTGAACCCGGCCTCTACCGCTTTCACGTCTTCGTTGAGCCGCTTTCTCTTTTCCTCCTCTTCATCCTTCTTATTATCGTCATGATCAGCCGTCAATGTGTCCAAGCCACCAAATAGCCAGATCTCTTTCATAGTTCTCGTGAGCATCATAATCTCCTCGGCAGCATGAATAATGGCATTGGATTCGACCTCGAGTTGAAATTGTTGTACTGATGTGTCTGTCAGGGTGGGCGGAAGGGATGGGTCTGCATTGCCTTCTGGGCCCAAAGCAACAGCAAAAATGTTCTCAAGCCTCTTGATCATCGTGGTAGAAAGAGCGGTAATGCGGGCTGGATCAGATTGGTCAGAAAAATCAAAACTCACAACGTGCAACTCAGCCGCCGCCAGTAACATACCCTGTAAGAACTTTGCGCTCGGTGCTGCATCTTCCACCACTGCTGCTTTTTTGGCGGGCCCTTTCTTGGGATCTCTGTCCATAGTGACAACTTGTAGGCCTCCAAGTTGGTATCGTAGATGGGGATTTTATGATGGTATGGTGGCGGATTTTTGGCCACCGTGTTCAGCAAACACGTCAATCTCGTTTTCTCTTCCTCCTAGGAGTTCTGCGAGAGGTGGTTGTAGCACTTGATCAACCTCTGCACGCATAAACCAGGGTCGGTTGCCCAAGTCTTGATTCAGTAACTCGTCTGCGGTGTCGTACATGAACCAAGGGAGATCTGTCAATTGCTCTGGCATTGCGGGGTAGCTGAGGAATTCTGGGAGTAATGACCACGAGGGAGACTGGAGGAAGATTGAAGGGAGAATAAATCGAAAAGCTGCAGTTTACATTGAAGATAATAAGCCATGAGCCATCTCCCCTGCTCCAAAGCAACCTGGAACCAGGAACGCAGGACTATGACGATTCCCCCAACTTGAATACTACGCCGAGTCATTCACGACCAACTCACATCTGTCACGAGTCATGTATCACGTGCCAAATCCAAGGTCAAGTTTACATAAGCGATTTGAATGTGGTGGTGTCCTCTACTACTTTTGATGCTCTCCGTGTGCGACCTCGCACGGCTGGGTATGGCCAGTAATATACCGCGGCCAAGGGCAATAAAGCCGACTAGGCCGGCAAGAGCGCCTACGACCGTCGACATGCACTTAGGGACTGCTAGGCGTTGAGCCGTGCCAACTGCCACCAGTGAAAGTGTTTGGCAGTCCACCACGCTGCCGGGCAAACCTTCAGCGTCGACACACCCATCGTGGCATCAGTTCATGATCAACCCGGCCTGGTTTAGCGATATGTGCCCCGCACCTTGGATATTAACATGCTTGCCTATAAAACTATCTCGCTCATCAGCCTTCGTCAAAGGCAAAAACTCCTCGTTGCTCTTGCGTCTCTCAGCCTGATTGCCCACTGTCACTGTGTGCCATCAACGCGGAACGAACTCCAACGAGAATCATATGTCAGGGCATTTAAATGGCACCACCGATTGGAACAAAGTCAGTCGAAGCCAGCTTTCGTTTTGAACAGAATGGCCGAGCTGCGGTCAAAATCAAACACCGAGGAGCAGGGGTTTACATCTTTGTGACCCACGGTGTCCCGATGAATCCCAACAACTCTCGAGTGACTGGTAGGGCTGGAAGTGGTGCCATTGGTTGGACTTCCAATCTCTCCACAACTGGACGGTAAGTCGGGCATACATACGTGGATTCCGAACCGCAGTTAATCGTCGTCTGCTATTTCACAGGCCATTCACCAACTACATGGTATGGCACAGTCATAACAGAGCCACCGATCCTGGAGCCCATTATGTGCTGGACTTCATGGGGAGGCCCGGTATGACCGTTACGTGGTCTCTGTATACCGCAGGTCCGGGAACTCCAACCCCGAGAGCGCCAGGCTGGCAAGCTGAAGATTATGCGATGCACAGGCATTGATGACTTTGTCCAGCTCAATTCTCAACGAAGGCTTCTTGACCAGTTACGAATGTACTGGGGTCTTCGAGTAGGGGCACAGAGCGTGTGACTCGGCTTTCCATGGGTATTCTTTTTGATGGACAGTTTGAATTAATATGACTTGACATGACTAGCCATTTTGATGCCTTTTTGGTATCGCATAGTGACGTTCGTTCACTATAGACCGCTCGGACTACTGACTTGCGTTACTACAGTACTTTCTGTGCACTATAAGATCGAACGGAATATTGAGAGGACCAACAGATGCCCCTACAACCCCACAGCTCTTCTAGCCTCTATCCCTCAACCCAGCCTCAACCGGGCCGCGCATGCCCTAACCTTGGCTAAAGATATCAAGGGCTGAAAGCCGAAACCCGGTGAGCCACTCACGGATCTCTTTCTCCAAGGACCGCTCATTCTACTTGGTGGCGATTTTGCAGCGACAACTGTCTTTGAACCCTTCGACCGGGAGTATCCTGTCACCGCCGCTAACACACAACTAGATTACCTCGATTGACTCGCCGACCTGGACACATGTTGGAACGTGAAAGATCATGATTTCATTAGCGGTAAAAACCTCTTTTCCTCACGGACTCATCTCTCAAGTCTTGTTCGTGCCCTTTTGTCGGATCAATTCCATGACCTTATCCATGTCCTTCTCAGTCACTTGCCAAACCTCGCTCACCAACCGCGACCGCTGTTCGTTTCTCACTTTGAAGCTTGCCTCGAACTTGGAAGGTCTAGAATTGAACCCCTGGGTGAATGCGTACGGATCAACTTCACATCTCTCCTTGTTTCCATTGACAATCTTATACTTATACCCAATATCAAACGCCCACAATATCCTTGCGATGTTGATTAATAGACTGTTCTTGGCAATATGCTGCCCCGTGCATATTCTTCTACCAAACCCGAACGGCGCCGACGGCAGGTCCGGGTGATCGATCCATCGATCCGGGTTGAACTCCAGTGGCTTGTCGTACACATCCTCATCGAGATGGATTGCCCAATGATTTCCAATGACGGTGGCACCGGCCGGGATACGATATCCCATATATTCATCTTCCTGGGTCACAGCATGTGGGATCCCTCCTGCAGACACAGGCCGCCATCGCAACGTCTCTTTGACGAGGGCATGGACATATGGCAATTGCTCGCTATCCTCAAAGGACGGCAGACGGTCATCTCCACAGACTGCATCCACTTCAGCTTGGCCTTTCTTCATGACATCTGGGTATAGGAGCATCGCAAGCGTAAATACTTCAAGTGCCATTGTCGTCGTGTCGCTGCCTGCCTCATATATGATGCCGACATCATACGCGAGTTCCTCCGGTGACATATCCTGGCCTTCTTTCATCCCGGAGGCGAGTTTGGCCCAATTCCACGACCCGGATTGTCGACCTCGGGCCATATTCTCCATATACAGCTTCGATTCGAAGGCGTGCAAGCGATCGCCCAATCTCTTCCATGGGGCGAGGAACCGCGGCAAGTAATTGAGCATGGGCAAGGAATCGACGATCCACGTCCCTACTCGTGCGGCATACAGGAAGTTCTCCATAACCTGGTCGATGGCTTTGATCTCAGGCTCGTCACCCCGTGTCAGCCGTCGACCGTACGCCAGTCCGAAGATGAGACTTGATGAATACCTGTGGAAGCGGTCGGAGAAGTCTGCATCGGGGTTCAGGAGTTCGAACATCAGCTGCTTGCTCTCGAGGTCTTGTAGGACCCGGTAGCTCTGCGAAACCCGGATGTTGAGGTATGCCGCCTGTAGACGCTGATGGTTTCGCCACCTTTGGCCGTACGGCATGAGCAGTGTCCGCAGACCCTTGCTGACGCAGTCACCGCCCATCACAACGTGAGGCCGTGAACTATAGATGTTGCTGCGTTTGTCCAGGAGGTCGTGTGCGGTCTGGTGGTTGCTTAACATGATAATGGTGCTCAATCCGTACTGGAGGCTGAAGATGGGACCATACTGCTTGCTCCACTCCTGGTACTTGCGCCATGGATACTCCTGTGGAGCCTGGTGCAGGTTTCCGATCACTGGTAGTCTCGGTGGTCCAGGAGGGAGTCCTAGTCTCTTACGCTTTGCTGACAGTGATGATACGAGCCACAGCAGAGTGAATGCAAATGCGACGAAGGCAAGGGTAGTGAGGTTGATCAACATCGCTGTCCAAGGGATTAGCTGAGCTGCAAGAGGTGTCTGAAAGGGATGTCAGTTGTAGAGGAAGACGGGTTTCTATGTGATAACGGCGTCGTGGTCAGTACAATCTGATAGCATAAAGGTCTGGCTTCCCCAGCACGCCCGGCACGATGAGAGAAAATCAACTGATCTACCTTTCACAACGGCGGGTCGCTCTTTTGATACTGGTTTGCTGACGGTCTCTAATGAAGAGGGACCTTGCCCCGGTGGGACCGTTTCCCCACAAACTCTCCTCTCCGGATTTCTGATGACGCTGAGCTTGGTCTCGGCACCGAGAGTGGGTATCGACATTGCCTAAGCGGAAAGAGATGAATGGCAGAGCCAACGCCATTTTGTTACTTCCTGGCTGGTTGTCCTGATATTAGTTGCTTCAGTGATACGGCTTCCAGCATTTGTCATCTTGTTAATGTCGAAGCAAGAATAATGTGAATTGTCATTGGCGATCACCCTTGAGCCAACTGTCTGAGCCGGACTCCGAAGATTATGAGACTGCATAACTATAAGTTGACGCTCAAATAGCGGAATTTCTCGCCTGATTTATCGGACCTTGCGTTGCTATGCTGTGGTATACACTGATAGGAACTGACGATCTTCTACAATTCTGTACCTAATATTGGTGCTCGACGCGAGCAGCACTGGTACAGGAGGAATAACAGGCCTCACCATAGACTACAAGAGGCCATTAGCGAAGGGTGTAAGTGTCAACAGAGGGCAAATCTTACCATCTTAGCACTTCGCCTCAAAAGAACGCGGGACGGTCGTCATGGAACATTGCGCGTTATTCGTGCTTCGACCCCTACCATGTTCAGGGTCCCCCTTCGTGGTAGTTCCAGAAGTGTCAACGCCCATTTCTGTCTTGAGTCTGACATTACTTGAGCTCTCCTTTATGCCATGATAGAATACAGTAAGACTTGACGGGAGTCAAGTCACTTGACCAGCAAGTTTGGATTGAGATAAATCAATGTAAGGAAAGGATTGGTGAGACGCCCTGACTTTGCCAACAGCTGATAGAGACGTTTCTATTGTCGATCAAGAGTCAGGTATAGGGCTGCAAAGCTGACCCGAGATTCAATTTCCCACTAGTGATCTACCTGGGCCATTCGTGTTCGTAGGTGGATGGAGATTCGTAGCCTATTCATAAGACTCCAAAGCTCATATCTGTGCTCTATTTTATCAAACCCCTTATAGTAATAGTTCGACCCGAGCCTCATCAGCGGTGCCTTTGATGGCACACACACACACTGAAAAGAAATCGATCAGGTTTCTCTGAAGAAAGTGAATCCAAACCGGAATGCTTACTTGTCCGTATTGCAAAGACCATAAAGATAGGGGCTTGCCTCACGCTTCGTAATTATATCATAGTATATACACTAAGAAGGTTCAAGAGTCAGAATATGATAGACTCGGAGGAAGTGGCTTACATGATAATCGCAAAGTATGTCCCCTCCGAGTTGGCAGCCAAGCCGTTTGACTAAACCTTGAGGGTGATTTGTGGCCTGGGAAACACCGTCTGTTACTGCGGTAGGCATGGCGAGGACGGAGTGGCCCCTGAACATGGCAAGGGCAATGCCGGAAAGAATAATAGATGAGATCTGCATGGCACGCTTGAGCTAAATCGATCTTGTATGAAGTGGTTGATCTTTAATCGTAAAACCCTGTTAGGCTGGCATGTATTTATACTCATGGCCCATGTTTCCTAGGCCTAGTTTGAACAGTGGGTCCCTCATAGGTGTTTAGGCAGTGTTATTTCAGCTTCAAACATTGATGAATGTGTCTTGCCTGGCCAAACCCTAGATGGCACGAATCATCAGGGCATGATACAGATTAGTGTTAGACTAGGTGTAAGAAAGCCAACGGAGATCCTAGGAAGCAAAAAAGCTTGTAAGGATATGAAACATAACAAGGACTTTCGCACTGCGAGCCAGCTGCATTTCAATTGTCACTCCCTTGTTCGTATCCCATGTTGGGGATCAGACAGCTCAGCTGAGGTAGGCTTGTCGGAAAGCCAGAAGAACTAGTCTTGACTATAAGGCAAGAGGCTTGTTACCTTCGGCCAGGCGCGCAGAATTTCTCAAGTCTCCAACTAACCACTCTAAACTAGGTTGCATAAGTACACGAAGCTGGGTTGTCACAACCACCGCCGACGGGCTACCTCTTTCAACTGATGGATTTTTGCAAACACGTATTTCGAGCTGTCATATGATCTGTCCTCTACTGAAGCAGCTCTAATCAGAGTTCATGCACTGGCAGCTAAGAGAGGTTTCATATGGATGAGGCTGACCCCCAACACCGCCTGATACCTACATTTTGGACTCTGATTGGCCAACACTTGTCCTTAGCATTATATACGCTCCCTTAGCCCTACCGCCAAGCTGCGGTGCCACTCGAAATCGGATTGAGAACATACCTAGGTAGGTGCTATTGAGATTGTGCGGTGTCTCCTTAATTGTGCTCTTCCTCTGGCTCATGGCATACTAGATCCTGTTAGCCGAAACTACGACATGATCCAGCTAAAGGGGCATGAGATTCAGCCTCAATACACTCCTGACTTCCAGTTGGCTTGTTCGTACCCCAGGAAGCTCATATCTACAGCTTCGCGAAACTGATATCTAGGTTCATTGAGTCTACCGCAATGAACAAGGAGAGTGGGGAGATGTGCGACTATAAAGTCATAATGCTCGAACTTTTGCGAGCTTTCAATCAACAATCAGCACGACTACAATACATCAATTTTACGTATGACTAGCAACCAAGCCAGATAACAAAAACTTCCGAGCATTTCAATATGGAGCTAACGAGCAGCAACCGAAACATTGCGCTTGCTACCACCCACCAGATCTCAAGTCTAAATACTGTCATTGCAAGTGGCTGTACAGTCCCACCATGTGGAAGCGTCACAAATAACAGTCCCTGGACCATGTCAGCGTGCGAATCTGTCGCAGGCGGCCCTCAAAGTTGTAATGGTAAGTCTTCCCCAAAGGCCATCTGGATTGAATTTATGATTGCTGGTGGAGCCCTCAGTCTCGAATATACAGGGAGGAAACAACATTATGAAGGATACTACGTCATGTGTTTGCTACACCGTCCTTCCTGGGCAGACCAAGGGAGGATACTTCAATGATCGTATTGATGTAGACGGGTAAGTCGCGGGTCAAATTGCGCGGAAAGAACCAGCCGTAAGAAATTCTTCTAAGCATGAAGTTAACGCGCGCTTTCTTATTCAGATTCTTCATTGGCACTCCATACAGCGATGCATTTTCATGGGATGGGTCAACTCGAGACATAGATCCAAACTCAGTAACCAAGATAACTAGCAATCAGTCGGCCAACTGCAAGAGTAATGGAGGAAAGCTTCGTTGTGAGGTTAGCGGTCCTGCAATCAGAGATCCCTTTAAGTTTGAATCATGCTACTGTGGAAAACGGTGCTAGGCCATCACCAAAAATAAAATATATCAAATTTCAAGAAACTTCTCGTCCTTTCAAAGTGGTTTCTCTTGCTCGTAAATCCGCACCTTAAAGAAAAGAAGCACGGTCAGGAGGGTGGTCTAAAGTTGTACCGCACGAACGCCATAAACACCGATATCAACTCAGCCTTGCACAGCCTTGAATTTCATACCTGGGTGGGGTTGTGTTGTCTCACAGCAATGGCTTAGGGTTATTTGGTTCCTCCCAAGAGGTGATCAATCGAGAAAGCAGCACGGGCCCTGTTTGATTCATGCTCAGGTTGTAGTTTGGGAAACCGTTCAAACTGACCGTCCATTTGTTCATACTGTGATTAGCTGGTTGACTTTGCATTATTACAGCCTGGGCTATTCACTCGCACCTTACAAGTCCGGGGTTCCCTGAGAGCTAGGCTAGCCTTACCAGCTGGACTGGTAGGTTTCTGATACTTTGATCTATTTACTCACATCTAGGGATCGTCAAAAACGCACATATTGAATAGCTCCAACCTGTAAATGCTGCATGGATGAAGCCCAACGATCTTCAGCCAAAAATGAAGCTCAAGCTTAAAGGGACCAAGAAGCACAATAGCAAAGAGCACTTCCATGTTTATCAGCCTCTTTCGGCTCAAAGTGAGCTTTCCCAAGTAAAACCAACCTACCCACCTGCCGAGGCAGGTAGTCGACCCCATACCGAGAGGCTCGACATTTCCAGCATTATCATTACTTTCTTCAACTTTTAGGGAGACGAAGTTATGGCTACAGAACTGAAGAGTTCAGATGGGGAATGCCCCTTCAGGCAGGCAATGTACCTACGGAGTACGTATGATATCATCCAAATGGTCTTGGAATTGCTATTTCCATACCTTCAATCGCCACAATGCTAGAGTTCCCACCATGATCTTCCAAGACTGCATTCCTTTCATGGCCTACCACGATCCCGCCCGTTGAAACCTTATCATGTATGCTTACGCAAGACAACCACCCCTTCGCACTTCAGGAGGCCTTTGAGTCTGGTAAGTGGGAGAATGGCTAAATGCTCGGAAACGAACCAAAATCACCGAGGTGTACTTCAGCGGTTGTTACGCAATTCCATCCGGGCTCTTAATAGAGGCAAACATACCAAGGCTTCATGACAACGAAGACGGCACACGTTTCTGAGACATGTGGATGTATACCTTCGAAGTCTGTTTAGACTTTAACATACATGCAGTGCAGTATAGAATCTACACTTCTCATCAGCTAACGACAGGACCTGACTGACGTCAGGCCAACACCTTTTTCTCCAGGATTTGTGGAAACCTGCCCACAATTCAACACTTTTGTGCTCTATGCCGGATGGACATTTATTCTTCTGCTCCACGATTACTGAGACATATTTTAAGCACGTCAATTATGTGTAGATCTTCGTGGCTCATGCTCACGTGTTTTTGGCAGCGTGGTCCCCGGATGCTGACGCCGATCCATTCGTTTGCATGAATACCATTTCCCTTTGGCTTCTGACCCACATACTCCAGATATTGATCAGCGAAAGATTTGCATAATGCTCCGGATAAACGAGAACCTGGTTATCTGCATATTTTGTCATTTGGCTCGGCAGTACACGAATATCAACACTCCACCATCAACCCACACCTTCTCGTCACGGGCGACTGTTCACCCCAATGATCCATCTGTGCCTGTCATCCGCAGAATCGTGAAGCCTCAATTGTGGACAAGCCGTGACAGCGACTGCGAAGAATAGATAATCGTCGAGTATAAGAGATGCTCCTTTGTCCCATCTGGTAGGTTCACCTCATCATCCCTCAGCACAACTTCGAATTTCTTCGGTGTGTTTTTCACATATCCCAATCGCTTTCTCTCGTTTTCCCATTTCCTTATATCTTTATCACAACATTCGTTGAAAATCAATCGCCCATCATGGCAAAGTCAATCGTTCTTTTTGCATTACTCGCACCAGCTCTTAGTGCAGTATTGCCTAGAGGTCAAGAAGGTGACAAGTCCTCACTCGCTCAATCAGACAAAGTCGAGGCTACTCCTGCACAGACCTGGAATGACTGGGCTAGCGCCCCTGCCGAGAAGGCATCTTCCATTGCTGTTGTGACTTCAGCCAAACCAGAAGAGGCTAAGAAGTCATCTGCTCCTGTTGAGTATCAAAAGTCGAGCAAAGTAGAGAACGCCCCTTCGTCTCCCAAGTCTGAGGAAGGAAAAGCTACTCCGGCCTCTAGCTGGGCAGACTGGGGCGAAAACCCCGTCAAGACTACCGAAGCACCAAAGACAACTGCTCAGCCTGCAAAGACAACCCTTGAGACAGTCAGCAAGCCAAGGGAGACGAAATCTGCCAATCAGCAGTGGAATAGCTGGGAGTCCGAGGCACCCAAATCAGACACCAAGAAGTCTGAAGTCCCCGTCGAGACCCCAGCTCCCCAAAAGTCTTCTCAAGTTTGGAATTCTTGGGAACATTCTGAAGCTCCTGTCACCCCCAAGCCTGAAGCATCCAAGCCAGCACCCAAGCCCGAGGAGACTAAGCCTGCTGCTCAAACGTCTCAGTGGCAGGACTGGTCTAAATCAGAAGCGACTGGAAAGGCTTTTGAAACCACGAAACCAGCCCCTGCCCCTGAACAGCCCAAGCCAGCAGAGACCAAGCCAGCAGAGCAGCCTCAAAAATCGCAAGGTTGGACTGACTGGTCAAAGCCTGTTGAGACTCCCAAGCCAGAAGCTCCTAAGCCAGCAGAGACTAAACCAGCAGATCAGCCTCAGCAATCACAGGATTGGAGTGACTGGTCAAAGCCTGTTGAGACTTCCAAGCCAGCCCCTGCCCCTGAACAACCAAAGCCAGCAGAGACTAAGCCAGCAGATAAACCTCAACAGTCGCAGGGCTGGGAGGATTGGGCAAAGCCTGTTGAGACTCCCAAACCTGAAGCTCCCAAGCCCGAAGCTCCCAAGCCCGTCGAGAGCGTAGCACCGCAGCAATCGCAAGGCTGGGAGGACTGGCAACAAAACAACAAAGGTGTTGACACACCTGCTCCAGCTCCAGCTCCTCAAAAGGAGTCTTGCGCCCCAACCACAATCACCGTGACCGTGACCGAGACCGCTCCCGCCGCGGCCGTGAAGACGAGTGCCGAAGGTGGATGGCAAGATTGGAGCAATAACGGAAAAAACTGGTAGACCGATAAAAGGGTGCTGCCATGAAGTGATGATCAAAGACATAACGTGACACGGGATTATTTCTCCCACGCTGTGTCTCACATGACAACTTTCTAACGTGTCGCGTTTTCTTGAGAAACATATATATCGACACAGGGGGTTGATTGCATTTTTGTCGGCGTTTGGGGAAATCGCATAGCATCAAAAAGCTCACCAGACATGCCCAACGAGATGGGGAAGGATAAGATGTTCAGGCCAAAAAGAAATGTGGTATCTTCACCACAAATCCTGTTGTGATAGGAATTAGTATAGTTAGAGCTAGTCACTCCTTCGACTAATGTTAATCTTTATTGCTCGAACCACCAGAGGTTAGTGTTGCTCAGTCTTTTTCAGTTTCATCATCTGATTTCTCTTTCTTGGCAAGCGTCGTAAAGCGCGAGGAGGAGAGCATGAGTGTAAAGCGACAGGTCAGGCTTAAAAATGTGTTGAAGCTGAAGAACTCTAGGAATCCAAGTGTTCTTTGTACTTTAGTACCCCCGAGATGCGGACTTGCCTAGCCAGAAGCCTCAGATGACAGCCACACGTCACTGTCTAGAGAGAAATCAAACAATCTTCGTGACCAATTTTCCCGTATTGCCACCATCGAACAGCTTTAACCACGTTTTCGGGATATCCGCGAATGGCGTGCTGACGACCTGCTCGCTTTCGTCCGAGATCTTGAGCTTGCCTTCCTGCAGTGACTTAATGAATAAGGCGATCACCTCACCAAAGTGCGGTGCGTAGTCGAGCACGATGAAGCCACGGATTGACAGGCGCATCGTTATGACTTGGAAATAATCTGTGAGCGACTGTTAGTTGGGTGCTAATGGATTCTATGGGATGATATAGTCTTGTGGCGTACTTTTCAGGACACTGGGTTGCTGGGCATTGTAGTTCGAAATGGCACCGCATGCGATCGAGACACCGCCTTGCTTCAAGCGGCCGAGCATGATGTCCAAAGTTTCACCCTGGTTGATTACAAGATTAACACGATACTCTCTTCAAAGGGTGGAATAGTAGAAACTTACTCCCACATTATCGAAATAAACATCCACAAATCCATCCGTGGCTTTGATTAGATCCTGCTCGAAGGTCTTGCTGCGATAATTGATGCATTTATCGGCACCGAGGCTCTCGACCCAGCGGCACTTCTCATCCGTGCCTGCGATACCAATGACTTCAGAAGCGCCAACGATCTGTTCATCACGATCTTTCTCAGCGCATGTTTCATGTTTCGGTTGCGGGAAAAAGATACTTACGTTCTTCGCAATCTGCACAACCATGCTGCCCGTTGCACCAGCCGCGCCGGAGACTACAATCCGCTGGCCCTTCTTTGCTTCACCAATGATGACCAAGCCGTAATATGCGGTCAAGCCGGGCCCACCTAATGCACCGAGATAATGCGTGAGGCTGAGACCATTGGGAAGAGGTTTCCGTGGACTGGCTGCGGCAGCGTCGAGGACGATATACTCGCTCCAGGATAGGCCAGCCTGGACAATGGTGCCTTTCGGTATGTTATCAGCTGTCGAATCGATCACTTCTCCCAGTCCACCGGCTTTCATCGGAGCCTGGAGTTGCACAGGTGGAGCATACAGGCGCTCGGCAGGGATGGAGCTTTCAATGCTCACACGTTGGGCGGGATCATTGGAGAGGAATAGTGTCTTGACGAGCACTTGGTTGGGGCCAAGCTTGGGGATTTCTTGCTCCACGAGCTTGAAGGTGGCACTTTCATCGGAGCTTGAGTATGTAGCCGCGCCCTTGGGGTGGTTGGCAAGGATCCAGGTTTTGGTGGTGGTTGGAATTGAAGACATTGTGTTCGATGTCAGAAGCGTACAAGGAAAGTTCCGAGAATTGTGAAATGAGTGCTGTTGATCCCCCGCCATCTGATTAGAAGGTGCAACTGATATAGCTTTGATTAGTATAGAACTCACCTCTATTCGCGACCTCGGCCGTAGAAGATAGAATGCTTCGCACAGATGCCCAAATTGGTCAAATTCCGACGGCGTGCGGGTAAATGAGTCACCGACTCGAAGCCAACAACAAACCAGTGTTGACCAAGTATACAATGTATTGTTATCGAGCTAGGCCACAATAAGTATCAATCAATAATGGTACTCTTTAGAATTATGAACTCGTAGGGGTATTTATATATCCAGACTCGTCAGTTGGAAAAGGTGTGTTAATACTTTGCCATGGATGACGAAGGTGGGGAGCCGAGGTTGAGATGTTGTTTAGGAAGTAAGAGCTTGATTGGGTGGAGAGCATGTCAGTGGATCAAGTGTCGGCACATTGGCCATCAGAGTAAAGAGGATGTATATCAATGTTGCAGGTCATTTGTCATCAGCTGTGTATTTGCTGTTCAAAGTCCGTGGGAAATCGGCCCATCCTTTCTTCTATCGTCTGTAAACCGAGGATGTGAGACTCAAAAATATCTAGTTCCCATAAGCATGACTCTTGTGCCGCTGCAAACTCGTTGTCAGCATAGTTCTGCGACTCTTAGCCTCATCATTGATCCATGCAGAGATAATGAGGAGAGCTACCGGCTCACGCAACTCGCAGGATGTCCATACCGTCCGGTCTGACTCCGGAATGGGCTGCCGGAAGAGAGTCAAATTTGGGTCGACGATGGATCTGGGTGAAAAAGGAATATGTCGGTCATGATCGCAGGTGTATCAGTTTCTTATTAATCCTCCTCTGGCACTTTCTAGCCATAGAGACCATCCCACTCTTCCTCATCATCCTCGGGGGCTGCGTTTTTCTTGATGCTTTCGAGATGAGCCTTCTTGCGATCTCTCTCCCGTTGAGCGAGGTCCACTCGATCAAGAGGGCAAGTACCATTTAGTAATAGCCAGGGGCGGATACATTCCAGATCGAAGACATGGCTTGTATGACAAGGCAGTCGGACCAAGAGTGGATGTGTATCATCGACAAAATCATTTCCACATATTGGACAGTCCGCATCTTTCTTGACCTTTTTGATGTTGACTCGTTCGAGAGCAGCGATATATTCTTCATCCACGCCCTTGACCTCCTGAGGTGGCCTCTCCGCCGAGCTCATGAGCGCTTCGATCATATTTTCCATCAAGTCTGAATCTGCATTTTCATTGTCTCTCTGCATTTGTTGGTATGCCTCAGCAAGGCCACGAAAGGCTGCTGAGACATCACCTGGGAGTGGGACGGCATGTTCTCGTGTGCGACTTTCAGGGCTTTCGGGTCTGATTTCGGCAAGTAGACTGATGATGGAAGACATGTCTGGTCTTCTCGGAGGACCTTTCGAGTGGTCTACCTCATCGCGAGCATGTTCACCTAAAGATTGGTCAACGAAAATGATCAATGGATGGTTCTGGTTATGTCTCACTTTCATAGCTTGCCATCTTAAGGTTAAGAGGGCACAATCAATTAGTATACAGTGCAGACTATAGTCACTTGCGACAGACTCGAGGATGACTTGAAAAAGAGAAAGTACTTGGATAGAAATCTAATTTAATGGGCAGTGCAGTCGGTGTGTAGGTAGCAGGCATAAATTGATGGCGTGGCACATGAGTTGGAGCGATGGGGTGCAGGTTACGATAGGCACAGTCCGTATAGAATATCGACTTGAAAAGCGTAAAGGAGGATGCAGTGCAGTGTGAGAGCGGTGCAGACTGTAGCACTTCAAAGTCCGAAACTGTCGTCCTACAATTGTTCTTCCTACTCCGATCACTCGATGACAGATGGACGGTAGCGGCGGCGGTGGTGCAGTCGCGCCGGGGGAATTTTGGAAGGGACAACCACGTGCACAGCCACATTTCTCAAGCCACACTCCCTGTACCTCAGCCACAGTCATCCCCAACTTTCCTACAACTTCACGTCGCCCTACCTCTCTTTACTTGTACTTATCCATCATCAAACCCTCAACTGTTCCACCTTCTATCCATCGCATGATCAAATGATTCACCTTCTTGGAGGGTCTTTCTCAACCCACAGGGTGCCTCATCTTCTCGCCGTTCATCATGTCCCTGCCTCCCGATAAATGCTAGTTGATAGATGAACTGGTCAGAATCTCATCGCGCCCATGGAGGCTGATTGGGATGAGATTACTCGGATTGCCGTGCCTTCGGCTGGCCTGCACGCAATCCCTGCTCCAGCCAGTTCCATTGCTTTTGACGATCTACAGGAGCTTCTGTGGGTGGGGAATGATCAAGTAAGGTGCCTGAGAATCGGACAATGAGCTGACACTGATCTATCAACCAGGGACGAGTCACCTCGTTCTATGGACCCGAGCTTCAACGATATGTCTCGGTCAAGGCTCACCTCGGAGAGGGGCCAGTCAAACAACTATTAATCCACGAAAAAGGCATCATTTCAATCTCCTCTTCCAGTGTTCATTTTATTACCCGTAGAGGTCTGACCCAGTGGCATATTTCACACCCATTGATGACCGATTTACGATGCATGACCCAAACCGCATCCAATAATTCTCTCTTGGTAGCAGGATGTCAGAGTACCTTTTTCATCATCGATGTTGACAAAGGTCATATTGTCTCCGAGCATCCCGCCCAAGCAAACTACACTCTGATGAAGAAAAGCCGACATATATGTGCTGCTACCGACGATGGCAGTGTTCACGTTCTTAACTTGACCAGCTTTGAATTACTGAAATCGTGGAAAGCTCATGCGACAGCAGTCAACGACATGGATGCCCGCAACGATTTCCTCGTTACTTGTGGATTTTCGGTGAGACAGCTCGGCGTCCCGATAGTAGATCCACTGGCCAATGTCTACGACCTCAAGAACCTCACGTCCCTTCCTCCAATTCCGTTCCACCCCGGCGCTGCATACGTACGCCTACACCCAAAACTACAAACCACCAGCTTTGTTGCCTCACAGACGGGTCAAATGCAAGTGGTCGATCTCATGAACCCCGTGAACGTCATGCTCAAGCAAGCTAATGTCCAATTTATGTTGGGCATGGAAATTTCGTCTTCTGGTGATGCAGTCGTCATCACCGACACCAATGGCTTGATCTACCTTTGGGGTTCTCCTACAAAACTTCGATTCAATAATCTCAGTAAGGAGACCGAATTTGCGGACCAACCCTCACAACAGATCCCTCATGTGGATTGGAATGATGCACCGTTGAATACCATCGGCATACCTTACTATTCAGGGCCCCTCTTGTCAGCCTGGCCAAGTCATATGGTATTCGACGTTGGCGCCCCACCTGTCCCTGTTGATCCGGCTCTCTTATTTCATATGCAAACGGCAGAGATGGGTCACTACGCTCCCAATCTCAACCCACGCAAACTGCTTCGTTATCAAGTGGAGGATACCCGTTCGGGTCATGTACCCGCCTCCATCGCAGCGCCCAAATTTCTCAGTGAGAAGGCGAAGGATGTCTCGCCTAAGATCCATTCAAATGGCCGCAAGCTGTCGGACGCGGCCGAATCATTGGCTGGTATATCCTTGAACGGAAGAGGTCAAACGGACGAAGAACGAATGCTCAAGTACAGCAATGTCGAAATCAAGTACAGCCGTTTTGGGGTGGATGACTTCGATTTCCGCTATTACAACAAGACTCCATATTCGGGGCTGGAAACACACATTGCCAACTCGTTTGTCAATTCCATTCTACAGCTATACAGATTCATTCCCTTGATCCGGAATGTCGCGATACAACACGCTGCGTCCCCCTGTGTTGCTGCCAATTGTCTTCTCTGCGAATGCGGATTTCTCTTTGACATGCTTGAGAAGGCCAGTGGCCAAAATTGCCAGGCGACCAATCTGCTGAGGGCTTTTGGTGCTTCTAGGGAAGCAGCCAATCTCAGTCTATTTGAGCACCTATCCAACGCGAATGGAACACCGCTCTCAACAACCATTCAATCAGTAAATCGATTCTTCTTAAAGCAGATCGCACACGACTACTTGACCATGATGCCCAAGGGCGATGGTATAGAAGAAGTTCTCGCTAGCAACGCGTTCGAAGCGATTCGCTGTATGTATTGTAACAATGAGACAACCAAACCTGCGAGCACCTATGTGCATGATCTTATTTATCCACAACTCGATCCCAAACACGCCATGCGGAACCCAATCTTCAAGTTCGCATCGATCCTGAAGACGACGATTGAGCGTGAAGCCAAAAACCGAGGATGGTGCAGTCGATGTCGCAGATATCAACAGTTGGCCATACGCAAAACTGTTCGAAGGCTCCCATCGGTGTTGATGCTCAATTCGGCGCTTGGAAATCACACCAGTATGCGTGGACTGTGGGAGACACCTGGTTTTCTACCCTCGGAGATCGGCATCACAATACAGGATAGGAACGTGTATTGTTTTGAAGGCACTGATCTGGCGCTGCACTTACGCAACAAGTCACCCAACATGGTGGTATATGAACTGGTGGGATTTGTGGCGGAAATTGACACGAGTGAAAGGCATCAACCCCATCTGGTCAGCATGGTCAATGTTGAGGTTTCCAACCCTGGCCCAGAGGTGACACCCAATCACAAAGTGTTTCCGAATTGGCATCTTTTCAATGATTTCCTGGTAACATCGGTTGACCCCAGGGAAGCACTACACTTTAACAAAGGGTGGAAATTGCCAAGCATCATTGCATATCAAGTGAAGCAGGCACATGGGAAGTTGGATCAGACATGGAAGCAACACCTCGATACCACTCTCCTTTTCCAGCACTATAGCATCAATGGTCTGTATCCAGGACCCGAGTGTAAGATGCTGGTCCTTGGAGAACATCCACATGAAGGCACGCCAATCGCTCTTGATACCGAATTTGTGGAGTTGGAACGCGCCGAGATTGATGTCAAAGCGGATGGTAGTCAGGAAACGATTCGTCCAGCCAAGAACGGGCTTGCACGAGTCAGTGTTCTTCGAGGCAATGGAGAAGAGGAAGGTATTCCATTTATCGATGACTATATCACAATATTTGAACCCATCGTGGACTACAAGACACAATACTCTGGGATTCGACCGGGAGACCTGGACACACAATTATCCAGCCACAATCTCGTTCCACTCAAAGTGGCTTACAAAAAGTTGTGGATCCTGTTGAATTTGGGATGTGTCTTTGTTGGACATGGCCTTGCATCTGATTTCCGAAAAGCCAATATTCATGTTCCGAAAGCACAAACGGTCGATACACAATACCTGTATCTGGCACCTGGCAAGAACCGGCGATTTTCGTTGCGATATCTTGCATGGGCCGTGTTCAAGGAATATATCCAAGAGGAGACATTCGACGATGCGCAGGTTGATGGACATGACAGTATCGAAGATGCTCGTATGGCATGGAGATTATGGCGGAAATTCCTCGAGTACGAAGATGCCGGAATTGCGGAACAGATGATTGAAGACATATACCGCAAAGGGACCAAGTATGGGTGGAAGCCACCGCCGAGGAGTATCGGAGGCACATTGTTGCCCGATGGAATGGGGACTGGAGTCAATAGTGCGGCACAAAGTGGGAGAAACACACCAGACTTGAACTCGTCATTACCCTTACCTACCTCACCACCAAGTTCGAAGATCAGTAATGGAAGCGGAGTGGCCTTCCGACTGAATGCTGCAGGGGCAGGTACTTTTGTGCCAGGAAATGGAATACTGAAGGAAAGTCCACTGAGATGAGTGTGAGGGCGAGAAATGAGAGTCGATGACGATTGGGCTGTAGATGATTGCTGTCGGGAACAGAAACGTTGAAAGCGCAGAGATGAGTAGTTGATGAAAGTACAGAAACCAAATTCCAATTCAATTCAATTCAACACAATAGGTCCCAATCTGCGAGCGTTCGTTTCCCTTGAAGGTCTTAGTAGCTACCTGTCTAGATGTCGTGGATTATATCCAGATTTCGTATATGAATACTCTCGATACTCGTTTGATGGTGCCTGAAAGGGTTTAACCAGAAATCGGACCTGGAGAGGCAATTAGGCATGCCCTTGCATTAGTTCCGGGCTTGAGTTCTTGGGCGTTGGATGATGCCTATCGCGGCTAGTTGATCGAAAACCTTGGCAGGGATCGGTTTCTGGATTGGGGCACGTGACGACAGTCGGAGAAAATAAAGGGACGTTCAAGCGATCCAACCTTGTCGGTTGATGCGGCCAGGCCTATTTTTGGGGCCCAGCACCCCAGTCACTTTGGTCCTTGGTAAAACTCAGCCTCGAGGATTGCGGTGGCAATGCCCCAAACTCCATGCCCGACTCGCCGTCGCTCATGATCGGTTTCATAACAAGCACATCACCCACTCTGCTTGCGCATGCACTGGTTCAACAACTCTCACTTTCACTTTTTCCCACGGCGGCCTCTCTTTGTCTGCGCACGCGTCGTCCTCGTCCTCGTCTTGGTCCTCGATGTTGATTGCTGTATTTCATCCAAGCACATATCCACTACTTGAAACCTTGCCCACCTCCTGATAATTCCCCCTCTCAGACGTCTGCTGTCGCAACCTGCCACTTTCAGCCCAGCCCTCCACCCCTGATTTTTCCTACCCGTCCAGATACCCCATAGTCCACGTACACAGGACATCGCACCGCCCCGCCCAACCACCGCCAGTTTCATCAGCAACACTGCACCGTACCAGATTCACAGTCTCTATCACCTTGTCGGGCTTCTGGTTCTTTCTCTTTCACGATGGCAAAAGTCAAGAGTAGACCTCAGGCATATCCAGCGATGTCTTTTCACGTCACCAGAGCCATTGCATTTATTTCGCAGAGCATCGTCACTGGTATCTTGATCTTCTTCTTCATTCAGTTGAAGAAAGATGGCTTCAAATTACCCTGGACCTTCATCATTGTAAGTCCATGACATCTCATGAAAAAGACGATCCCGTGGCTAACAGATTCTTCCAGGTATTAGCAGCATCACTCCTCTCACTAATTTCCATTATCATCACCACGCTATTCTACCTCTGCTCCTTCCTCTCCCCCTTGTTCAACCTGATCATCAACTCGACCGTCCTCATCATCCAATTCGTCGGCTTCGTTCTTCTCTCATGGAATATGTCCGGCACACTCACACACTCCTGCAGCGCAGCGAATTGGGCATCCAACGACGGTATGATGGTGTGCCGGATTTACAAGGCCCTGTACTCATTCGCCGTCTTCGCTCTGCTGGCTCAGATCGCTCAGATCGTCCTGGACACCCGCAGTCGTCACAACCAGACCAAACTCGGTCGCTACGACAACATCCAGGGTTCCAGGGACCTCAAAATGGATGACCTAAGTAAGCTGAAGCAACAGCAGTACCAGCAAGGCCATGCACAGCAGCCCAGTCAGGAGAGTTTTGCCAGCCATGCCAGTACCGATGATGTGCCGTATGGCATTCATGATTATCGGGAAAGGCACGCAAGACCTCAGCAGGCTGTCCCGGCTCCTGTTCCTCAGCCAACGTACCAGGCATACCCCGGCGGAGAGAGTGCCGGTTATTACAACAGCGGCCATTCTCAGGTGAGGATGGATGATTTCAGCAGTCATGGTCAGGCATACGGTAGTGGAGGATACGGATATTCTGGACGATGATCATGATCAAACAAGGATTATTAAGAGAGATGTTCTGGACATCTGTCAGAGACATGATATGTTATATAAAAGCATCAGCGATGGCGTCAAAATTGTGCTGGGTAACGTCTGTTAAGCATACTAGAGATATCGAGGGGAAATCTAGTCCCGAGGGACATTTGATATGATATATGACGATTCTTGTCGAGTATTTGAATCTCCCAGTGGAATTCAATATCACTAAACTTAACTATCTGGGTATCTGAGAAGCAAGAGAACAGAAGGTATACCATCAATCAAAAAACTCCAGCGAGATATCTCAAACCATTCATTGTTCCTCATTCCCATCCATCTTCCCTGCTCTTCCATGTCAGCAAACACCAACACATGCCTCATCTTGAGCCTCCCTACCTACCCTCACATTCTCACCAATCATGCCTAATCTCAAAAACCAGCCCAGCCAGTCTCTTGACCTCCTTATGATCGACAGCCCTCATCTCCTCAGTAATCCTGGCGAGCAACTCCTCACTCAACCCGCCTTTCCGCCTGGCATAGACATCCACGCCGGCCGGCGTAAACAGCGTCTTTGCGAAATACGTGACGGCCCAGCCGCCCTCTTCCTCGCCATACCCAAGCACCTGCCAGTGGCTGCTCGCGATCTTCAAGAACCCGCGGCCCCGCCAGCTATAGGCGCCGACGGTGCTGGCGTCGGGCGTGTCGACGCCCTCGACGCGTTTGCGCTTCGTCGAGTTCAGCGGCTGGTATTCGACCAGGTCGTCCAGCACCTCGGCGTTGTTTTCGAGAGATTTGTACGTTATCGTCACGTTGCGGTTCGACTTCCACATCGGTAGCGTCGAGTGTGTGACGTGCCACCGTCCTTGCAGGAAGGATACCGGCGGCGGGACGAATGCTGAGGGTGCGTATTTCACTTTCGAGTGCGATGGCGACCGGAAGTTCAGGCCTGCGCGAGGGGGTGTGGTTTGGGGGGAGGGTGGTGCTGCGGCGGCTGCTGCTGGCGCTTGGGCCGCGTTTGGCGCCATCCCGGTCGCGGTGAAGGTGCCGCTGTGGCTGCTCGTGTGTGTCGTTGTTGCCGTGCTGGTCATATTCTTCGGGGAAGGAAGTTGACAGTGGTGGTGTTTATACCTTCCCGACTGAGGAGATCCAGGGAGGAGAAGGTTTGCTTTCCCGCGCCGTTTGTGGAGTGCAGACAGGAGACAGGGTCGTTGGAGTTGGAGTGGGCTTCGTTGAGAGACGATGCGTGATGAGAGAACTAACAAAAGCCTAATATTTTATCGACGAGAACGTGGATGTAAAAGACAAACGAAGTCCTGAACCAGATTTGCATAAGTGCTGGCTGGCTTCTTGTTGATAAATTATGAACCACATGCTACCCCAAAACACGCCTCAGACGCCAGGCGTAAGGGGCCAGATGCACAAACTACGTCAGACCCCCAAGCCAAACTTGAACTGGTGAGCCGCCTAACCACTCTGGTTAAGAGTTAAGCCTGCTCGTACTCGTACATCTCCATCTGCTTGGTATGTCGGTGTGATCGACGAGATACGAATACTCTGCTCACTCTTCCCCTCGAATTCAGGGCGGCCACTTGAATCCTGGTGGATAAGCGGTCGGCCTTGCTTTCACTCGGATCTCCAAGGTTGTAAGTCCCGCTGTCTGTTGAGCAACCCATGAAGCCTGAACCCTGGCCCTAGGGGCCACAGGTGAGAGACAGCCTTGGGCTTGGGCGCACGCTTGGTAGGCACGTCATAGGCTTCGTGTTCACCCTTGGTTGAGTGGATTGATTTGTTCTCTGGCCTGGGCATCGCTATGGACAGCACATAGCTTGAACTTTTGGGCTCCTTAACAATGGAAACAAGTTGAAAAAGCACTTTTGCCCATGAGAACTCTCATGGTTTAAAGATAGTGGTGCTGTTCATCGAGTTGCTACACAGTATCATCACGAAGGCCTAATGTAAAATTCCTGGGTACCTAATTTAGTGTATTCCCCATCGCCGTGGAGAAGCATGCCTAAGGCCAGGGATACTCCTTCGAGCTTCAGGGCATGATAACGCCTAGAGCTGTGGCAGGCCTACTTATGTAGATGCCTAAGGTTAAGCACTTAGGACTTGTTACTCCGCAGTAGGTGGTTAGGATTTCTTGGCGGCCGAAGTCAACGCCTTCGCTCATACGGAGTACCTACTTAGGTAGGTACGGAGTAGCTACACGTAGGTGATCTAAGTCACGTGAGACGAGACAGTTTAGTCCTAATTAGGACTAGCCTAAGATCCTCGTATATCGACCAGGCTTCTCCCGCATAACCCCTATTGTAACTAGACAGTTTCATCAATTAACATTACCTCTCACATTTCGCTACTATGAGCAATCCGCTCGTAATATGTCACAATCTGAAACTGTAGAATTCGAAAATTATCACCCAGCATCAATCTGCGTATATATCACCCAGGTGGCCTCTGAGCGTAACGAACATGCATACGTTATACTGAAGCGTTGGCTAATACGCAACCACCTTCGTTGAGACATCAGTTTGGGCAAATCTAAGCTGGCACCAATCTGCACAGCTGATCGGCTCATATTTGGGCGGGTTGTCTTCATCTGTGCAAGATGGAAGCACCCCACAAGTTTCGTTGAAATTGAATCCGAAGAAGAATGGCATCGAGTACCTGTTTTCAATTCAGTACACTTTATTCACAAGCGAGCATGCCGTCGAACACTTACCTGTCGACCGTCGTACGGTTATATACCCGATGGACTGTTGACTTGAGGCGATCATTCGTCAGGCGCATCAAATAGTCACCAATATTGACGACGAATGTGCCCTCGATAGGACTGGCCTTGATCCACTGGCCATCCTTGTTCAAGACCTGGAGTCCACCATTCATATCCTGCCACAGCAGTGTAAAACACTGGAGATCTGTATGCGACCCAAGTCCAATATCTTGGCTCATGACCGCTTGCTCGGCACTCATCGAAGGGTAGTGATTATATACGCAATCGCTTCCCGGAAAGGTTGTGACAGAGTCGAAATAGTTCTCAGGCAGATCAAGGCACAGAGCGAAAATTTTCACCAGCCTTCGGGCGAGTATGAGACATTCTTGCCAGTAAGTGATGCAACCTTTCTTGAAGTCAGGAATGTGCTCAGTCCCTTGCCATACATAGTCTTCGCCACGAATGAAAGGTTGAACTTCAGGGGGGATGGCATTGAGATCTTTCGGCTCTGGGTCATATTGTGGCTCATACCGCCACGAGAAGGATTCACGATAATCCACTATGCACAATCAGTTCCTACAGCAGATTGATTCAGGAGCAATGCCTAACTTACAGCCTTCCGTCGGGCTAGCCATCGCAGTGCCATTTCCCGAATAACCATTGTACCATTTCCCCTTGTCTTTCGATACTACCAATTTTTGCTCCTCGGGCTGCGCAAAGAAATTCTTGGCAGAGTTGAGTGCTCCCTGAATTGCTGACTCAGGGATACCATGGTTTCTAATGTAGAAGAATCCGGTATTCTCAGCAGCAACCTTGATTTCTTGAGCCAGCCTCTTCCGAGCTTCAAAGTCACCATATATGTCGGAAATATCGATCAAGGGTATCTCGTCATCTTTGCATTCTCTGGGCGGTTGAGTTGATACATCGCGATACACCGGTCCATAGGCGGTTCGCAACTGGAGTTTAACGAAAGCTGGCTCAGCGGATACTTCGGTGATGGACGCCATGGTACTTTGACGATTTGGCACTAGGTCCGCTCAGTTCTGGAAGTTTAGGATTACACGTCCCATGCGACTATCACAGATATACCTAGTTTGACAAATTTAGGAATCTCAAATTCGATTTAGACAACTCCGTCTCGAGGCATCAAGGCTCCAGTCAGCGTCCAGTCTTTTTCCTATCAATTCGGTCTACGGCGACTCCCGATTCATTGAATCGATTCCCCAAATTCACCGATGTGACTTACTGGCTTTGCTGATATATGACCAGGGTGCAAGGATAGCGAGCATCACGCGAGGTCCATGTGGTGGGAAGAAACCATGATCATTCGAGAAATTGCGGAGAGGGATTTAAGAAGGGGTCCGCCAACGTCCCTTGGCAAGCGAATAAGATGGCCGGCACATATCTGACCCCCAATTAGTGGATTTCAAAGTATCTTTCTCTTTTTCACTTATCAACGTTGAAGTGTACAATATGCGCGGATCTCCTTGAATCTCTACCCTATCATTGCTCGGTTAATGTCCGACTTACTGCTATACCCCCAAATGTTCAGTCCGGTCCGAATAGACTTCCTCGAAGGGCCACATAGCAAAGCCTGTTTGGTGGCCCCTTATCATGGCCTGCCATCAGCACGATACAAGGTATTTGCCGGGTGGTCAAGGGATCTTCAAACGCCGATAGTGCTATGGAATATATCAATGAATTAGGTACCATTCGAGGCAGAAACCTGCCATGCAGCAAATCAACCAAATAGTTGTGTCGAAATTCAACCATGGGCTTGTTCAGTCGTCCCACTCTCGTCGCGAAGGGAGCAGAGGAAGTGAAGGGTAAGGATATCTGGCTCGACAATGATGATCTCCGACCTCTCAAGTTGAAGGATCGCACATGGACACAACTCACATATTTCACCTTCTGGTTCTCAGCGGCCGCGACAGTGAGCAATTGGTTCGTGGCTCTCCATTGCAGACTGACACGCAATCACTAACAACGAATTAGGTATGGCGCTTCTGCTGCGCAAGCGCTGGGTCTGTCGATGTGGGAATCGTTGGCCTGCTCGTTTGGGGGTCAATGCCTCATTGGTGTCATCATCACCCTTAATGGCCGGTCAGGGGCAGTTTACCACGTGGGGTTTCCGATCCTCAATCGCTCAGCTTTTGGAGTATTTGGTGCATGGTGGCCGACGTTTAACAGGGCGGTCATGGCCATTGTAAGACCCAAATTGCCCCCGAACTATGTCGTCCGAAGTTTGACAAATTGGCTCTAGGTATGGAACGGTGTCAATGCTGTGCAAGGAGGCCAGTGCATCTATGTGATGCTGCACGCGATATTTCCCAGCATTGCAAACATCAAGGACACAATGGGTACGGGATCAGCATTGACGTCTGCCGGAATGATTGGCTTTGCAGTCTTCTGGCTCGTAACCTGCTTTTTCCTGGTGATCCCAGTCCCCAAGATGAAAAACCTCGTCTATGCCAAGCTTGTCGTATTCATCATCTCAGCTCTGGCCATGCTTGGATGGACAGTTTCAAAAGCTGGTGGCCTTGGCCCAGTAGCACGTCAAGGTTCGACTGTTCATGGAAGTGAAAAAAGTTGGCTGGTATGTTTTGAATGCGCTCCCGACTAAACCCCAGCAATTTCAGATCTGAACCACTTGCTTGGCTTGGAGAAGTCTTACTGACCAGGTGTTGTAAAAGATTGTCCGGTTTTTGATGCTGGGGGCCGCCAATTGCGCAACCTTCGCTTCAAATGCTCCTGGTAAGTCCATCACAAGCACATGAAAACTATAACTCACTGTATTCAGACTTCCAACGTTATGGAAGCCGCTCGAAGGATCCAATCCTTGGAAACTTAGTCGGGTTTCCTCTGGCCAACCTAGTCGTTGCTCTCATTGGCAACATCGTCGGAGCCTCAAGTCAAGTCATCTTCGGCGAATTGGTGTGGAACCCGATTGATTTCCTGGATATGCTCCAAACCACCGACTACACTGCGGCGAACCGGGCCGGATGCTTCTTCATCGCGCTCATGTTCGCCTACTGCGCGATCTTCTCATCGATCTTCGAGAACTCATTACCCGCTGGCAACGATCTTGCAGCACTGTGCCCCAAGTATATCAGTATCCGGAAAGGGTTCTTCATCTGCGCCGTTGTCTCCTTTGCCATAAACCCGTGGTACTTATTGGGCTCGGCGTCAATTTTTGTCTCCTTTCTGGCATCGTATCAGATCTTCTTGTCCTCCATCACAGGCGTCTTGCTGTGTCACTACTACCTCATCGCCCGTGGCTACCTTCATATCCCGGACCTGTTCACCTCCAACAAGGCTGGTGCATATTACTACAGCAAAGGTTGGAATATCAGGGCGTACATCGCGTACGTTATCGGCGTGGTCCCCAACTTCTACGGGTTTTTGAATAATATGGGTGTCGATGCGCCCATTGGCGTCACAAAATTCTACTACTTCGCGTACTGGGTGGGAATTTTCGTCAGTGGAGCGGTTTATTGGGGACTTTGCAAAGCATACCCTCCGGCCATCATGTATGACAAAGGGTGGATGGAGCCAAAGAACTACATTCGTCCAGAGGAGGACGAAGCTGTGCAGGTCCTAGACGCTCAAGGTAGTGACGTCGAAGCTGTCGGTTCGGGCAACGGTGCTGAGGGGAGTGACGGAGAAAAGGTCATTGCGAGGGTCGCAGGCTTTGAGAAGGCTGACTGATGTAGATGACGTATTCCTGGAAGAGAACAATTCTTGTTCTTCATTAGCTAGTCGGGCTTATAAGTTCGAATGATGTGGATAATGTGCTCATGAGAGGTACCAAATTCTTTGCTATGTATTGTGAATAACGTGCTTCTAGAAGAAAACCATTTTTACTATTTTTAAAAGGAGCAAAGCTTAGGAAAGTCGAACGATGTAATTGATATGCTCCGGGAAGAGAACGATTCTTCCCATTTGTGACTCTGCCAACGAAGTATTCTGGTGACTCGTAGAAGCGGCCATGCCGTATTTTCTCAGGTCCTCTTTGTCATGAATTCATCCAATGACAATGGCGATCTGATGACATTCCTTTTGCATACTCATGAGGTCGGATAAAATGGCATTGTGAGTCGAGAAGTTAATTTCCCCATCTTCCAAATGAATTAGGGTTCAATGAAACTTCCGACAAACTTCGTCCATGCTCTCCGGCTTCAGCTCCAGCCACCTCCATCTTCCAATGCTAGCTCCCGAGTTGCAAAGCACAGATTTGATCTAGGCGCAAGATCCCCCGCACGCCACAGTCCACGATTCAATTCACTGCAAGTCGGCTGGGCCGGTCAGGTGTGCGGATGATAGCCTATCAACCTGTTCTTAAGTTCACAACCTCAGCGTTGGAAGCAGCTGGCCTTTTCCTATCAGCCTTGGCAAAGTATGAACGAACCTTGTTTGCGATCCGGAAAAGAAGTTTGTGCGCAGCCAATCAATGTACGGATGACCATGGCCCAGGCCTCGCTTCTGTGAGATGTACCTGATCAAAGCGGCAGCTGAAAACGTGTGCCACAACTTTATTCGTGCGAGATGGCGAAATTATGCTGGAGATGGAGCTAACTCGGTTTCTGGTTTTTTGTTAGACAGGGGGTTTTGGTTAATTGCCATCCTTCTTCAAGCTCACGTTCTTCATCGGCCGTACCTCTTCGTAGATAGCAGAAATCTTTCAAATGCAGTCAGCTTGCTTCTACTTTTACTCCTTCAGGAGTTTACGAGGTACTTGTACCCACTAAGTGTGTTGTGTGGAGATAGTGGTACAAGATATGGAGTAACCCGAGCTTGCATCCGCAAATGTGCAGACGGATAGGCTACAGTACCTCTGTTCCTGCGGGAGGGTATCTCTAGGTTCCCCGAGCCATCATTCCATATCTCTAAGTGGGTTGCTTGGTCAACTGATCCTGCCAAAGCAGAGTACCTGGTACCTTGTACTCCGTAGGCTTGTAGCATTCGCCTCGACCTTTCAATTGGAACCAAGCTACTCGCATATAACTACCTTGGTATGGATATCGATGCTGGAAGCTAGACAGAATACAGTACATTGATCCCTAGGACAGCTCGCGTGAGGCTACTGTCTGCCGGTGTGGCGCGAACCCAGCTGGGCGGGCGGCCTGATATCATGCTTGTCGTCGGTAGGACGTATCCGGGCGGGCAAGGAAATCGTGCATACGGATAAGAGTCAACCATGTGGTTATGACGGACGCATTGTCGCGTTCGCTTGCTGCTGCTCTCTTTTTCTTTTCCCACAATGCGTTAGGGACCAAGATAAACGACTGAAGTAACTCGAACGAGAAAAGAGGCGTTTGTAGGTGGTACAAAGATAACACAAATATGAAGTATCTGACTGGCTCGCAGATTCGATCCTGGTGCAACAGGGAAAAGGGCTGGCGATTGAACCAAGAGGGCTAGAACAACCAGCCCGACAATCCAATTGTTCCGTGTCAATTACGACCAACGCTAGGACTGTAAATCGCTTGATATGCTTATCTCTGGCCATGCTTTGCCATGCAGGGCTTAAGAGCGCTTGTGGCAAGTTCGCCCCACACACTCACCTCGCCATTTCTTGGGTCACAGTACTAACAGTCACTGGTCTAAGCGGATTGGGGTAGAAAGACCCGCCTCCTCAGCCCTTGCTATCTCTCTATTCCCCCAACTCCAATTAGAGCGAGTCTTAGTCTATGCCTTTTGCCCACCTTTGATAGTGCGGTGTATTTGAAGCTCACTTTTGGAAGCTCAGGCCTTGGCTAATGTTTATTGATGCCACCGACGCGCGATGGAATTGCGAGCGCTAGCTCTGAGTAGCCGATCAGGGTTCTAGAACCGAGTTCGGATCATCACCCGCTCGAAGGTGAGGTTCCTCGGAGTATGGTGATCCAGTGTCATGGCCTCGCCCCAAGCATGCCCCGTTGTCTGACAGATTGGTACATATAAGACCATGGGAGGATCCTTCGTTTCCACTCTGGTGGACGCTGTGGTTGTTACTACTGCTACTTATCCTTCCTTCCATTCAACACAGAAGAGACACTCCTCAGTGTCAGGCCATTCAACATGGAGAGGACCTCCAAGGAATATAAGGGTGTCAACGAGTCTGTACTTCAACCGTCCTCCAGCAACGAAGACATTGGCTCGACTTACAATGTCGATGGCCTACAGCGATCACTCAACAATCGACAGATCCAATGGATTGCCATCGGTGGTTCAATCGGCACGGCGCTCTTCGTCAGCATTGGTTGGGGTCTTCTTGAGGGCGGGCCCGGATCTCTCCTGTTAGGCTTCATGTTCTTCAGCAGCGTCATCGCTGCCATGAACAGTGGTATCGCCGAGATGACTGTCTACATGCCCATTTCTGGTTCTTTCATTCGGTTCGCCGGAAAATGGGTCGACGAAGCTTTTGGATTTATGGCTGGCTGGAATTTCTTCCTCTATGAAGCTATTCTCATCCCCTTCGAAATCTCCGCACTCACTCTCGTTCTAAAGTTCTGGAGAGACGACATTCCTGTTTGGGCCGTCTGTCTCGTCTGCATTGCCATGTATGCGGTCATCAACGTTTTCGCAGTCAAATGGTACGGAGAGGCGGAGTTTTGGCTATCTTCCGGCAAAGTCATCCTTATTATTGTCCTGTTTATGTTCACCTTCGTCACCATGGTTGGTGGTAATCCTCAAGGCGATGCATACGGCTTCAGATATTGGCGAGATCCTGGGAGCTTCGCGGAATATGTCCATGAAGGATCCTTGGGTAAATTCGAAGGTTTTCTCGGTGCCCTATTCGTCGCCGCATGGACTGTCTGCGGACCAGAATATATCGCTATGGTTGCTGGAGAGGCAGTGTATCCTCGTGTGACCATCAAGACTGCATTCAAGACTGTGTAAGTTTTTCAGCGACTCCCCCATCCAAAAATCTCAAAATTAGGCATTCCTCTCGACTAATCTTTTCTTCCCCAGCTATTGGCGATTCGGATGCTTCTTCATTCTTGGAGCACTGTGTGTGGGAATAGTTCTGCCTTATAACGATCCTACATTGATCCATATCTTGAACAATGAGGGAACTGGCAGCGGCGCAGCATCTCCATACATTATCGCTATGCAAAACATGGGCGTGACGGGTCTGCCTCACCTTGTTAATGCTCTGCTTGTGACCAGCATCTTCTCCGCTGGAAACACATATTGTTTCATGGCGACTCGCTCGCTGTACAGTCTCGCTTTGGAGGGACAAGCACCAAAGTTCCTTCGAGCCACCACTAAGAAGGGAATTCCTCACTGGTGTTTCTGTGTTACCATGGTGTTCCCCTTCCTGAGCTTCCTTCAGGTGAGCAACGGCTCTGCCCAGGCTATTCGATGGCTTGTCAACTTGGTCACTGCCTCTCAACTTCTCAACTACGTCGTTATGGGTACCACGTATATCTTCTTCTTCCGCGCCCTCAAGGCTCAGGGGATTGATCGCAGAACTCTGCCATACAGAGGTGAGTCGACTGAGTGTTCACATTTATACCCCGTTCCCCCTTATGAACGAGTGTCATGGCTATGATTCTGTATCGAGACTAGCGCCGCACGTGAGTGCTCCGGCCAGATTGCCGAATTCGGATGTGTGTCAGCCGGTATATATATCACCCCTTGTGAATCGACTCATCATGTATAGCTAGCCTACTCTCTCTTCGTATCAATTTTGCTTGTCAAAGAGAAAACAAATCTAACATGTGTTGATCTAGGATATTTCCAACCATACATCAATATCGTCGGACTGATTTTCGTCACGATCATCATGTTCATCCAAGGCTACACAGTGTTCTACCCCAGCTGGTGGACTGTCGGCACATTCTTCACCTACTACACCATGATCTTCGTGTGCATCCTCTTGTTTGTGGGATGGAAGGTAGTCAAGAAGACTAAATTCGTGAAACCCCACGAGGCAGACCTTGTTTGGGAACGCCCTATCGTGGATGCCTACGAAGCGAGTATCAGTCCTCCGCTCGGTCTCTGGGAGGATATCTGGGGTAGCACCCTGGCTTTCCTGAGGATTAAACGCTCAAAGACCAGCAAGACCGAGCAATAAGTGCTACGTGTACTCTATTGGCAGTGGGGAAGACGTCGTCCTTATTTCTGGACATAACTATCCGCGAATTTACCTAGAGTGAGTGAAGAGCCTACGTATCAAGCAATAGTAGCGTTCATGAATCTATCCTGATCGAATATTGGAGGCGTGGTTTGAGTTCTTTATTTCGTCAGTTGGACAGTTGATTCGCCCTAGAGCACACCATGTATACATAATCCCCCCTAGAGCGAATAGCGTATATATGATTCACCCTAGCACGGACTGTGATAATTCGCCTTGTTCGACCCAACAGGACAATGAAGCTTTTCGTCGTGCATACAATCAATAACATCGGTCGTTTAATTGTGCTGTTGCCAAATATCTACTATCATCGGTACTGTAGTGTGGCGGAAGATATCGTTTGCAAGTAGCGCACACGGCTGCCTCAGGCCTTCCGTAGACATGACAAAATTAGTGTATTGCTACCCCCGTTTTTCCTGCCCTGTCGCCCGCCGTACTAAACGACTACACAGACTGCTCGATAACGAATAGGGTAGCTTATATTAGTGTATTCTACACAGTTTGAAGCCGAGAAAGATGCAACGCTCTGATTGAAATGTACTTGATAAAATGTGACTAATAAGATTATTGACTGAAAAAGACGTACTTGACTGCCTACGGAGTGGTAGATGGCATACGTCGTCGCAGCCCTGTGCCTCAGGCTACCCTAAACTCAAACGAGGTCCATACGAACTGACAACTCAAAATAACAACAGGCTGGCTCAGCTCACATTGTTCGACTGTCAGTCTTTACAACTTTATGAACCACTTCCTCAATATCAGAAGGTTGACGAAAGATCACGCACGAACTCTTTGAGTCCTTGCGAACCACCCAAACCACCCCTTGAGAGTTTTCATCCTCTAGAAAAAGTAGCATGAGTTGAAGTTGGGTGTGAGGCCTCCAGGGCCCGCCAATAATGGCCACCTCTAACCCCATTTATTGCTGCGCCCTAGTCCCTCTGAATCCCGCGCTGAATGAGCATCTGAGCCACGATCTTTCCTTCTGAATCCGTGACATCAACGACAATGGTACCTGAAGCATCGAAATCGTTAGCCGGCGGATCTTTCCTAGGCCATTCGTCGTCTGTTGGGCAGTTCCCCTAGGCAAGCACGATGATGTTCAATATTCCTTACGAAGGTTCAGGAAGTCAAACTCTAAAGCAGAAGTCTGTAGCTTGATGAGGATGCCTTCTCACATCCACTGTTTACATAAATACAAATAAAGATCTCAACAGCCCCCAACTTCTTCAGAAATCACAAACAGTCCTTCTCACTTGCATATTTCCATCCCCGTCGCGTGTGTATCATTTGACGACTCCTAGCATACCGTCCTTTGCAGAATATTGTAAATTGCATTCAATAGTTCGCGATATCACCGATCAGGAAAGTCTTATATTCGCGCCAAAATGCTCTTCAAATACGTTCATTTCCTCGCGCTTCTCATCGTCCTCACGGCAACTGCTGTTCTAAGCAAAGGCTCCGCGATAGAGTGTGGGCCAGCTGTCGGAGGAGCAAGATGTGGTCTGAATACGTGCTGCAGTGTCGCCGGGTTCTGTGGCACGACCAGCGCGCACTGCGGTACAGGGTGCCAACCAGGTTACGGGAGTTGCGTGGTTCCAACCGCTCCCAGTTGTGATGCGAGCAAGAAGTCTGCTACCAACGGCCGCCGGGTGGGCTATTGGCAGGTGCAGCAAGTCCATGATGACGCCTGTGATGTGGTGTTGCCCGCAGACATCGACAGGGCAGGTATGACGCATCTGTTACTCGCTTTCGCGCACTTCGACCTAAAGACGTTCGATGTCATCCCGGCGAACGCTACAGACGAACGGTACTACGCCGAGTTCACCGCCTTGAAGTCCGATTCGTTGCAAACGTGGATCGCTGTTGGAGGAGGGGCTTTCGGCGGCGCGAAATGGTCAGCTATGGCGAGAAATGCTACGTCGCGAACGGCGTTCGTGTCCTCTCTCAAGGACTTCATGGACAAGTACTCTTTTCAAGGTGTCGATCTCGACTGGGAATTCCCGGACCGATCAGGTTCTGATGCACAGAATTTCGTAGCCCTGGCTAAGGAGATCAAAGACACGATCAGGTGTGGAATATCCACGGCCGTACCTTCGGACTGGGGCAGTGTCAAGGGATTCGATATTGACGGCCTATCCAATTATCTCGACTTCTTCAATTTCATGGGTTACGACATCCACGGTTGGGGCATCGATGAAGGATCGGACCGAACAAAAGTGACGTACGGCGCCGACATTCGTGACATCGCAGTCGAACTACTGCCGTTATGGGCCAATGCAACCCAGGCTGGGCAAGTGAATCTGGGCGTTCCATACTATGGTCGTGGATATACGTTATCAAACTATAGCTGCACGATCAAGGGCTGTAAGGCCAGTGGGCCCAGCAAGTCCGGAAAGTGCACTCCAGATCCAAGCGGTGTCATGACCCTTGGCGACCTGGCCACCGTCATCAAAGAGTGATCGCCCTCGATCGTCCTCGATCGTGATGCCATGCAAAAACGAATGACTTGGGACAAGCACCAGTGGATCGGTTATGATGACGCAGACACGATAGACCTCAAGCGTGCCTGGGCTGATAGACACTGTTTTGGAGGTATGATGGCGTGGAGCATGGGTTTCAATTCACGTTGGTTGTGATACTGCTGGCGGTCGCAGCAGATGCAACCGAGCTTGATGTTCACCAGTGTAGATACTGCATGTCTGGCATAAACATGATCTTTCGGATATAACGCCAACTCCTGGTTTATTCCGCCCGTGGGTAAAGAGGGATATTTATGAATGAACGACCTCTTGTCTCAAAACACGGTCTGTCCCGGCCGTGGCCCTTCCACATTCACATTGCTAACTGTCGTCAGGTGGTGTCGGAAGATACTCAATGAAGTCATATCAATCGTTACAGCATCATTTCACTGGAAAGTCGCCGATGCTATCTCTTTCTCGACCGCTCCATTTCAGCCATGCAGCACAAGTACCCAGCACGACGACAGTTAGCGGAATTGTAACCACAAAGTAGATCCAGAATTGATCGGCTATCCGCAGCTTGGATTCGTTTGGCGAAGTCTCGAAGTCAAAGAACCCCATGCCGAAGAGAGAGCACACGAATGTTGCTGGCAAGAACACCATAGTGAGGACGGTGATGGCTTTCATCTGGAGACAACAGCTTGGTTAGCTTGGCTCAAGTGAGGACGGTGGTAATGGTCTAAATGATTTCAATTAATTGAGGGGGGTTCACATACAGTGCTGCTATCAGATTGAGAATTCTGAGCGAGTCGTATCATTGTTAATGTGTCGGTGGCAGTGATGGTGCCATCGACCTGAGCAGATTCAATTAGTGCTCTGGAGGAGTGAATAGATGCCTGAAAATGAATCAACTCACAACTTTGGCTTGCACACGAAGTCTCTTCCCCAAAGCTTGGAGCTGCTCCAGAGTCCATGTCGCCATGCTTCCGTTTTGTACCAGAGACGCAGTCACGAAGTCCATCTGTCGAGTCACAGCGTGACTCGAGAGCCGCGTGCTGCTTCTAGGCACCAACGCCGAGAAAGCCTCACACTCCTTGACAGCAAAGTCGATCATTCTGGCCTGAAAGGAGAAAACGTGATTTGCCATTGCCATCAGTGCTTCTTTCATGTGGAGTTCTTTCTTCAGCAAAGCGAACTCGGAGATCCTCGCGCGGGAACGAGAGCCGAACGTGTGTAAGGCTACTCCTGAACGTGATTCGAGATGGCAGATGGCTTTGTCGATATCTTGGCGCTCATCCTCATTCAGACAACGGAGATGGTTGACGAACAAAGCAAATGGAGTGAATGGATGTAGTGTTGATGCTGAAGGCGTACCCCCGGAATCAGAACTCGAGAGTGTTTGAAAGATCGTTTCCGCAAGAAACTGTGCATTTGTCACTTCCACAATCGCGGACGTTTTGCCTGAAGGGAAACAATGATGAAGCATGAAAGACCCGTTAGCGAATGGGCCAAAAGGGTACTTGACAAATAAGTCTGTACCGTCAGCCGATATCTACAAGAGAACTTTGATATCTCGCTCACAGTAGTCTTTAGGGACACTATCCGATCCACGAACAACGTAGGAGTTGTAGACGCCATTATTGTTCATGAGGACCTCGAAGTAGGATGGTGGCGCTTTCGTGGCCTTGAGCAATTGGAAAAAGGAGGTTGGCGATAGTGCAATCGCATTCCGCATAAACGGTTTTAGGAAGCTGATATTGGTTCAGCTAAGATTCAATAGCAGGTGCTAAAGGCCTTACAACACCTGGAGCTCACCCTGTTCAAAAGGTCAGTAGTTGTCCACAACTGATCATGCATTCCACATACGTCCCGCGACTCGTCTTCCACCAAACGAGCACATTCGATGTCTTCACGATCTGCAATATTGGAAGGGCGTCAGAGGTATTCTTGACATCGATTCGGATCGTATCGGAAACTAACAAACGACGCCTTTCACGACCTTCAAGCGATGAATAGTCGATCCGTTTCCAAACGTGGTACCGTCCAATAATTCTCCAAGTCGTGATTCTGCGCAAAGTATGCGTGCATCGGGCGATCCGTCGTAAAGCTCTCGGAACAACTCATGAATAAGGTTCATCTGCTTCTTTTCATCAGCGATCATGGCGCATATTCAGTGCTCGGATGATGTTCTCGCGGCCAAGGTTATGGAGAGCATGAGGTGCAAAGCACCGTTCAGAAAGGGCAGAATAAGGAGTGGACTTCCAACAAAGTTCTGGCTGGAGTCAGTTGTGAGAGGTTCCTCGACGGCAGCTATTACAAGAAAGGAAATCTTATGTACAAAAGCTCACTAGCTGATGAAGCGTTCGTTGCGAAATAACTCTATTAGATGTCAAGTCCTATCTATGATGTAACTGGAGGTCTCCTCATGGCAAATACCAAACTTGAGGTCATTCTGCATCCGTTGAAGTCCTGATATGTCATGAAACGAGTTCTAAAAAACTCGGGGTTGTGAATATTGGCAGTACTCCAGAGAACACCATCGCTATTTACCTGGATGATACCCACAATAAATTCCATATCGTACATATCGTGCGATCAGTTCAGGCAAGGCATAAGCGCCAAAGCTCACATTTTCCGTGAACCTAACATACTCCACCCGTCTAGCTCCATTCACATAGACAAAGCAATAAAAGCACTGCAAAGTACGTAGCTTTCAAGGCGCCGAGGAAGTTCTTCCAAAAGTCAGAGAAAAAAACAAAATCGTTGCTAGTTGTCGTCTCGATCGTGTATATAAGAACGACTCTTTGAAGAGTAAAGATGGAACTGGCGGGCAACACAGCTTTATCAAGTCGATTGGCCAGGGAGGTAGATCACTGGAGAGGGGCCTCGTGATGTAGCAGCATGTCGAGCATTTTATTGATCATGTATTCTCCCCTAAGTGATCTGGGCATTGAAAGGGCATCTGGCACCGTCGTTGGAGCTGGTAGCTGGACCAGTTGCCACAAATACGGCGGGACCGTTTAGTGGGAACTTGTAAATTGAACCACTCGTGTTGTCGGCAGCGAAGAGACTGCCGTCGGGGGCGGCATATCCAGCGCCCCAAGTGTTGCCTGCGATGCTGCCATAATTGCGTAATTGCGTCCATGCCTTGCTAACCATGCTGAACATGTATAGATAGGATATTCCACCGCCAGCTGCGATTGCGAATAGATTCTGGCCTTGACCGGGGAGGAACACCCAATCGATGGCAGTGGTGCCACTGGGTAAGCCGGTGGTGGTGCCGGAGCTGATCAATTGACCGAATGTTGCGGATCCAGGAACCATGTTAACTTGCGCCCAGGTTGAGCCTGAAGCACTTAGCCACAAGATGCCGTTGGTATCGATATCGCCTGCGTTGAAGCCTGTTTGTGCTGCAGGCAGGGTGGAGATCACCGTCAGGGTTCCGTCCGGCGCAAGTCGATTGATGGTTCGGTCATTCACGCCAAATCCGTAGATGAAGTTGTCTAGTGTGTTGTATCCTATGGCGTTCATGTTCTTGCCCACGCTGGACTTGACTAGCGTTGAAGCTCCAGTGGCAATATTTACACGATAGAATGCGGCGTTTTGAATCAGGTAGCCATTTGGATCGCAGTTGAATGTCGGAGCCGCGCTGGTCGAGGTTGTCCGGACAGTGGTTGTGGTAGCGAGAATTGGCGTTGTCGTGGTCGTTGTCGTTGTTGTAGGTGGAATACTTGTTGTGGTGGAGGTCGTCCTAAGTGTGCTTGACGTAGTGGTGCTTGTCAAAATTGCGCTTGAAGTGGTGGTCGTGGTGCTACTCAAACTGCTGGCAGAGCTGCTGGTAGGACCAGCACTTGAAATGGTACTTGTAGTTGTCGTTGGGTTGACAGCCGATGTGCTAGAGGAAATGGTTGTGCTAGCCGTGCTGATAGTACTTGTACTAGTTGTTGAGCTAGCAGGCGACGTGCTAGAGGAGCTGGTTGCGCTAGCCGTGCTGACAGTACTTGTACTGCTTGTGGGGCCAATAGTCGATGTACTAGTCGTACTAGTCGTACTAGTAGTGCTAGAAGTGCTAGAAGTGCTAGAAGTGCTAGAAGTGCTTACGAGTAGGGTACTTGAGGTTGCACTAGTGGTAGTCTCTATTGAGGTAGTGGATGTAGTAAGAGAAATCGTTGTTGATGAACTTGTAGTTATACTGGTCGAAATTGGTCCCAGGGTAGAGCTTAAAGTTGTCGTTGCTGAGGAAGTCGAGCTCGTGCTACTAAGGTCTGTAGAAGTCGCGGAAGAGCTCGTATCCGCTGATGAGGTCAAGATACTCGACGTCGAAGTGGTGGAGGTAGCATCTGTTGATGTGCTGGAGAGTGAGCTATCAGATGTTGAACTGGGCTGGCTACTCGTCGTAGAAGAGTCCGTCGAGGTCGATATAACTGTACTAGAAGTAGAAAGGTCCGTAGTTGTAGTTGACTCCGAAGTCGGTAATGAAGAAGTCGAGCTGGTGCTACTAGATTCTGTAAGTGTCGAGAAGGAGCTAGTAGTTGTTGAGTCTAAAGAGCTAGTTGTTGAGTCGATTGAGCTGGTCGTGGTCGAATCCATTGAGCTGGTCGTGGTCGAATCCATTGAGCTGGTCGTTGATTCCACTGAGCTGGTCGTGGTCGAATCCATTGAGCTGGTCGTTGATTCCACTGAGCTGGTCGTGGTCGAATCTATTGAGCTGGTCGTGGTCGAATCCATTGAGCTGGTCGTGGTCGAATCCATTGAGCTGGTCGTTGATTCCACTGAGCTGGTCGTTGATTCTATAGAACTGGTCGTGGTCGAGTCTATTGAGCTGGTCGTGGTCGAATCTATTGAGCTGGTTGTTGAGTCCATTGAGCTGGTCGTGGTCGAAT